CCATATTTCATGAGAAAGTAAGTTAAATCGTTTAAAGTAGGATATCCAGCTACAAGTAATTCGTGGTGTTTATTCGGAAAGCCACGGACATCCTGGCGGCGAGTTGTCTACCGGTGCTATCTGACCGGTGTTATGAGATTTGTGGTGCTGTTTGGCAGTATTGTTGTCCAGACAGCTAAAATGCTAATGGTGCCTGCTAGTCAGTGATTATGAAAAGTTTCTTTTCCGCTATGAGTACCAAAGCATAAAGCTCTGTAACAGCCGCAATCACGTTATTTCTTATCAATATAGTTAACGAAATGGCTTACCATAGCTATGTGGTCTTATAAAGCACTATTAAGAGTAGGTGTCCGTAAACTAGCTGTATGTAGCTCTGTAGCTCTGTACTGGTGTCTGACTATAACCGTGGAGGGGTGATCAGATCATTGAATTTGTAGCATTAACTTATTCTATGTCCATAAAGCTTACTATGTTTTTAAGATAACTATTTGTCATTTGCGCCGGTGTCTTAACAATAACTATTCCTTTATTTGTAGCAAGAGGGCTCTCTTTGCGCCCAGCACTGTCTCAACAACCTCCTCCAGGGTGAGTATTTCACTCCTGTGGATCTGTCCTCCATTGCTCATCAACTTGATGAAGAGGAGAGAATGAGGATGGCTGAAGGAGGGATGGCCAGTGAGGAGTATAGGACCTTCTTACAGGTGAGGAGACATGGAAGGTGACTCTTAGTGCAGCAGCATGTTTATACAGTGCATGCACAAGTAATCAAAGTATTATGGACATATCAATATAAGTGCAATATGAAAATCGCAGAAGCTGCAGGGTTTTTTTTATAAAGGTGTAATGTGTTTATTATAAAGAAGTACTGTAGTTCTAAATCTGGTTCTCAAGACATAAGAAAATATGTTTGTTTTGTACAGACCTCAACAAATTTCACATAATCATTATTTTAAGTTACATTTGTGATGCAAAACTAATTGTGAATCATATCCCAATATATGTCAAAATAATCACTCAATATGATGTTTAAATTACCTGTTACCAAAAGGTTTATAACTTAATGTTCTGTGACTCTGTGTCTAGCAACCATCTGGGAACATGGATGACAGCGGGTTCTTTTCAATACAAGTAAGTTTAGGAGATTTACTTGAATAACAGATCAGTAACAATTACAAGTCAGTAATAACAATTCCCCTTTTCTGTCATCTAATTCCTGTAGGTAATTAGCAATGCTCTGAGGGTGTGGGGTTTGGAGCTAATCCTCTTCAACAGCCGGGAGTACCAGAGCCTGATGATTAATCCAATGTAAAGTTTCTTTGTCAAGACTTTAGTTTGTAATTTCTTAATCTGTATTCACATAACTACTTTACAGTTTTAGTTGAAGGTGACAGATATCCTTTCTGTCTGTTTCAGAAATGAGAAAGCCTTCATTTGCAACTACAAGGAGCACTGGTTTACTATACGCAAACTTGGACAACAGGTATGAGGCACTTGTCATCATAAGACATCATTTTAATACAGCTTAATTTACTAAAAACACTGTTTTGTTTTCATTGCAGTGGTTTAATCTGAATTCACTGCTGACTGGACCAGAGTTGATATCAGACACCTATCTAGCCCTTTTCTTAGCACAATTACAACAAGAAGGTATTGTAAAACTGACTTTTACTTATAGTTTGTTCAGGTGTTGCAATGCAGAAAATATTCTAAAAGTTTAATCTGTGCAGGATATTCCATATTTGTGATCCGAGGAAATCTCCCTGAGTGTGAAGCAGAGCAGATCCTTGGGATCATGAGAGTGCAGCAGCAGCAGCGGCCAAGACTTATCGGAGAGGAAGAGGCTCAGACAAGTGCAGGGTATGTACTATATGTGCAGACATTACAATATGGACCCAGAAAGGTAGACAGAAAGGAGTATCTTACTTGTTTCAAGTTGCTTTAAAATAAACTTTTTGACTTACTCGTGGCAACTGATTAAACCTTGTACTATGAGCAGCAGGTCAGCAGCTCTGGCCCAGACAGAGATGGCCTTTGGTGTGGAGGATGAGGTTGTCGATGAAGATGAAGAGCTGAAGAGAGCTCTGGCACTCAGCAGACAGGATATAGATGTGGAAGATGAAGAAGCTGATCTTCGCAGGGCCATACAGCTCAGCATGCAAGGTAAAGGAAGAGTCAGGGTTTTAAAATATATTGTTTCTTCTTCCAGATTAATTACAAATAAACAGTTGATTTCGTAAACTCACACTTAATTATGCTTTACCAATGGACCATATCAATCTTTGAGTCTTTGTGTCAATACTGAATATTGGGCCCTTGTTTTTCATAATACTATAGGAGCAGTGATGAGCAACAAATCCTCAGAGTCCGAAATGGGTAATGTGAAATCAGGGAGCCAGGTAGCAGGGAGTGCTGCAGGAGGACAAAGAGAAGGCCAGAATGAGACACTGACAGCCGAGGAACTGCGGAAGAGGAGACAAGCCTATTTTGATCGGTAGGTTTTACTGCATGCCTGGTGAATACTGTACACGAGGTGGACACAATATTGTAAATACTTATTAGCAGTCCAGTTAAATAGTCTTGTAATAAGTACTGCCTTTGTGGATTTTAGGATGTTCAATGTTATGTAGGAATTGTGTTTTTCATTAAAAATGGAGAGCTTAAATCAACACCTGTTAATATAAACATTATTTTTGAGGCCATAAGTTGTGCTTTTGTGTTTACATTTATAGCTGCTTGATGTATTTGTGGTATTGCCCACATCCCCTTTCAGTTACTGGAAATGAATGCATGGCTTCTGATGCAGATTCTCTCTGTTTACTTCTTAGGCAGCAGCAACAAGCTCAGTCAAACATTCCTCAACAACCAGACACACAATCGACACGTGGCTCAGGTAAGTAGATCTGATTTTCAATATAAATGTAGTTAATGAGATTTGTCAAACCTATCCAAGAAAGACATGAAATATACTATCCTAAGCCCTGTTCCCTCTCCTAGGATCAGTAAACACTGGCTCTATGGAGGACCAACAAGAAAAGCCCAGCCAGTGAAGGTGTGAAGGGTTTGCCTACGCTGTTTACCAGCTGCCTGGTTTGGCAACCCCATACAGGGGTAGCTTTGCTCCTTCCTCTAACCTCTTGCACATGCGAACACAAGGCCAGTCAGAAGGCTGACACGTTTCCCCTGGTTAGTTCGCTGACAGGCTATAGAGAACGACAAGGAAAAGGCAGCAGTTAGTCTAATCTAACTCACTGAGGCGCTGATGCTGGGGAAAGGGTGACCACAGAACTCATGATGCAGTTAATCCAAGTTTGCAATTGCCTTTTTACCATGGCGCCTTCTATTTCTATTGTATACTGTTTTTTATTCTCGTTTTTTTTCCCTCTGGAAGAGATGGAGAGGAATCTTCAGCATACAAAGGGTGTGTTTACTTGAGTGGGTGAATACATACAGAGATGTCATAGGAGACCAATGTTAAGACCAGATTTGATAGACAATTGCCTCCTTCCTTTATAGTGGACTTGAGTTTGACATGAGATATTATTCCAACGCCCTCCCCACCAGAACACAATTGTAGTTTTGAAATAATTTCTTGTTGCAATGTACTGAAATATCTTTTAGCCAGCAGCACTAACACGTGTGTGGATCATTTATTCCTGACATCATCAATCATTTTACGTGTGAGCGTCTAAGAGTGAACTCCCAAGGTATTTAGACAACAACATTTTTGATGTTGTGGCTTTGTTTTTACCCTTAAGTGTATGAGTAGGCATAATGATTAATGTAAGATTAGCCCGCAAACACTTAATTTAAGGGTGTTTTGTCCATTTTGGATGGACAGTGAACGAAAGAATTCTATTGAGCTATTTGCTGAATCTAAGATACTTTTGATTGATGCATATTTTTCATATCTTGTCCAGAATACGTCGATATGTAATGGGGAACAAAGAAGCAATCTGTAAACACCATGAGCAGCTGCAGCTGATAGAGAAATACGTTTGTTCATTTTTCCAGCACAGTATGATCACTTAAAACCAAAAAGAGTCTGACACGTCCAACCAGCCGACCTTGTATATGACTTCATCTGTTGTGTCTCTTCATCAGTATTTGTCATGAACCGTATAGGGAATTTATTGTAAAGTTTTACTCTCATATGTTACAACCCCTGAAATACTTATTATACTATATAACTCCACTGATTTGACTAATCCTGTAATCCAATACTTAAAGCAATGTTGTACACATTAGTTGTACAAAAGTACATTCATTTGCACTGAGGTTGTCATGGTGTAAAAGCCATTGACTGATTGATGACCTGCAGAAATAACAGTAAAATAGTGAGAATGAAGAGCAACTGCCTCCAAAGAGAGAAAACATCAAAAATGTGTCACTGTGCATACGCTTTGATGTGTTCATTGTTTTGGGGTTTTTTTGCTTTTGATTCTGACCACAACTTGTTTATAATCTGTCTCATTTCCCTCTACAAGCTTCTGTTCAGTCCTAAAAACCAAAATCTGGTTACAACACACAATGTTAATGAATTTACCACATTACAGCATTAAAACAGTGACATTTGTTTACAGTTATTATGTTTTCTGGAATCGATGACTGTTCAGCATGGGTATATCTTGATGCTTCCACAAAAGTGTTGGATTTCATGCAAAGTGTGACTGCATGTGCTGGATGACTTTCAGGAAGATTCCAGGATTTCATTATTGTTTTCATTTTCTTTGGATCTGTTAGGCTTTTTTTTTCTATTTAAAATTGACTTGTGAAAGAATATAAAAATGTTGGTAGCTGGGTTTTTTATCATTACATTACTTTGACTCACTACATTCTTACAGTAAGTACCCATCATTTCTGTTATATTTCACGTTACCATAGCACATTCTTTCATTTAATGTATTAGTTCTTGTTCCAGGATTAAAGTGACATTCACTCCTCCTAAAGTTTCTCATGTCTCATTTTTTTGTAATTTAGGCAGTTATTGATGGTTCCTGTGACATCACAAAAACCACCACATGAAAGAGGCCCCAAATGTTTGAAAAACAGCTCTGATGCCTTTTGGAACAACACATGGTTAATATGTAACACTCAGAGCACACTTGCACTTTGTATCCCCAAATAATAGATGGAGCTTTCAGACTTAATCTTGCTCAAGCTGAATGGTACGTATGACATGTTAGTTAATCTTTATTTCAGTCACAATTATGTATTGCATTTCAAAACTGAATTTATTCAAGGTATTGGTGGTAACTTATATGGAAAAAATAAGTTATTTATTAGATCTAATCTGTCTTATTTTTTGGAGATGGGTTAGTTGTCCAGTTACTGTTCAGATGTGCATTTTTAATAATCTTTTGACATCTGCCTTTTTCAGTTTGTGTGCCAAAACCTTCTCAGACTCAAAATATGGCGGTACACAAAATGAAGATGGGATTTATTGTCATTGTAATCTACATGTGCTTCTTCGCTCCGGTCCACCAAGCACAGCCTTCAAGTGCCACCATCTCAGATCTTTCCTTAAAAAATATGGACTTTGCCATGAATCTTTACAGAAAAATATCCAACTACCATGACAAGAACATCTTTTTCTCCCCTCTGAGCATCTCTACTAGCTTTGCTGCTCTCTTAATGGCTTCTGATGGTGACACACACAAAGAAATGCTGGAGGGACTCAACCTGGAGCAGCTGGAACGGGCTGACCACCCACAACTTATCCCAGAACTCTTTCAACTCCTTAATGACAACATCACACAGAACGGATCACTAAAACTGGACCAGGGCATGGCTCTCTTTATACGCCAGCAGTTTGAGGTGGAGACGATGTTTGAGGACCAAATCAAGAAGTTTTTTGATGCTGACATCAAAAGAGTAGACTTTGCGGACACAAAAGGGAGTATCAGCTTCATCAATGAGTATATCAAGTGCAAGACCGAGGACAAAGTGAGAAAGATGATTTCCACCCTTGATGCAATGACCCGAGTCATGTTAATCAACACAATTTTCTTCCAGGGTGAGTTGAATCACTCATAGAACTGTGCTTTGACTCCCATTTGTGTTTTGACCTTTTACCTAAAGTGTCCACAATGAAACAGTATTATTTCTTCCACAGGAGCCTGGCAGATGCCTTTTGACTCAAATCATACTCAAAATGCACCCTTCTACATTGACAACTATAGTGTTGTGCAAGTGCCGATGATGTTTATAGAGGATAAGTTCTACATGATGGAAGATGTTCCTCTTCGTGCCAAAGTGCTGAAGCTGCCATACCAGGAAGGTGTCTCCATGCTTATTGTGCTACCCAACAAAGGCATGGACTACACTGTAATTGATGATGAGATTTCTGCTGAGAAGTTTCTCAGCTGGATCAAAAAGCTGCAAAAAACGTAAGGTTTTTATGTGTAAAAATGTCACGTTTTACACAAGGCCCATCTTTCTTTAGCTTTTCTCCTATTTTGTCATGTGTATTCTTCTGTATTTTAGCTATAATAGCAAATAACTTTGACATCTGCTCTAGAAAGGTGCTGTAAAAAGCAACCCAAATAAGCAAATACATGTTATCTAATTCCAACACATGACAAGTGAATCTAGTAAACATGGCCACCCACGTCTTGTTTCACAGCAAACTGGAAGTCAACATGCCCAAATTCAAGATGGAGCAGTCGTATTCCCTCCACAGCCTTCTACCAGATATGGGCATTGCCAGTGTCTTCAGTAATTCAGCCAATCTGACAAAGTTGAGTAAGGAAGAAGGCCTCAAAGTGTCAGAGGTTAGTTTTGAATTTCACCACGCTGTCACAATGTACTTGCATATTCCAACCTCTGCAGATGATGAATGTTGTATCTACTGTAAAATCACAGGTGCTGCACAAGGCTGTGATTGAGGTGGATGAGACCGGGACCACTGCAGCAGCCGCCACAACCATTGGCATTACTCCATATTCCTTACCCAGGACCTTCATTGTCAACAGACCATTTTTCTTCTTCATATACCACGAAGACACAAACTGTCTGCTGTTTATGGGCAGGTTGATTGACCCTAGCAAAGAGTAGCAGTCATGACTGTACTGTTTGAGTGCTTGCACACAACATTGTGTTTTTTCAGGCTTTTAAAGGGCTTAAATTCACCTTAAAAGGCTTGTGCTGGTCTGTTCTGTAAGCCTACTATTATGTTATCCCTATTAATAAAGAACTGACATTAGTGTGCCTTTCTTTTGGATTTGATCGATCAGTTTAATGACAGGTGCATACTAATTGAGTGCGGTGTTTGGTATATACATGTGCCACAGTAATTTAATCCTTATTCATATATAGTGAGTAAATAAATGCATCAGTGCCACTTTCCAATAAGTTTTTATGGAGTTTATAAGTTGTAGCTCATTACTTTTATTAATGGATAATAAATCATTTGCTAATGCTTTACAGATAAGCCATAAATAAGTTAAATTGTGAAAAATCTCTCTGGCTGGTGTGTTTATTCTCCTCTAATGGACTATTTGCCCTTTGATCTGTGATGGATTATTGTAAAAACCAATTTACAAACTAGCTGATGGCTTATTATTTATTACTAACGTATTAACATTTATATCTGCAGAAGAAGTCAGAAACTTGAACATACTTTTAACCAACCTGGCAACATTTTTTAATCATTAATAAAGCCATTACTTACAACCTATAAATATTGTATTAAGGGAAGTATGACATACGTGTGCCAGCTCAAAGACTGAGCTCGGTCAGATCCGTTTAAATGTTAAACTATGTTAAATATATCGCTGAATCGTATGAAATAAATGATTTATTGATTGTGTTTCTAATAATACAGGATTGGACAAAAAAAAAAAAAATAGCTGCACGAATGACTTGTTATCTCCCAGTGAAGAATAAATAAGATGACTAATATACATGCAACTTTAGAAAAACCCCTTCCTGCAGGAAGAAAGCTCTGTCACTGTCACTGTCACTGTTGCTGGATAAATAAAGTTTTTCAAACCACGTGATCAACACTGTCATGGCGGCGCCCTCGTGTCGTGCGTGGTTGTTATCGTTCGTAACAATATTTTGACATTTCGAAAAACCGCAATCAGTCAAGGTAGTGCCTTTTCCATTGCTTATAGTTATTGTGTAGTTGTGTATGGTTTACAAAGCCAACCAGCGGATATTTAGCGAATATTTTCTGTATCTGTGTAAGTACTTCTGCACTTTAGCCGCAAGCTAACTTCACACACACACGCTTTTAACAACTCAGTTTGAGGGGGGTATTTTGACATATTGAAATCTAGCAAAATGAAGACAAAGAACATGAAGCTGAAAAACAAGCGTTTGTCCTCCGGGCTGCAAAAGAAAGCCAAACGGAGCATCCATGTGAAAGGCAACTGGGCAGCTGTAGAGCTCGACCCCAGTCTCTTCTCCGAGGAGGGCATGGAGGGCCTGGTGTGTTTTGAAGAGCTGACAAGTTATCGTCTGGTGGACTCTGAGAAGGCTGCAGCTAAAGCAGCAAAAGAACTGAAACGGGAAAAGACGACAAAGAAGAAGAAAGCGAAGAAAAGAAAAGCCACCGAGGGAGAGAAGGCTGGGGAGGAGGCTGGGGAGAAGGCTGAAGAGGAGGCTGGGGAGAAGGCTGAAGAGGAGGCTGGGGAGAAGGCTGGAGAGGAGGTAGACGTGAAGACCGAAGAGGGAGAGAAAACAGCTGAACCAGAGAAGAAAAGAGCCAAGAAGAAGAAGAATAAGAAACTGACAGCGAAGGAATCAGTCCAACCAGGTGACACTTCTGCAGAAGTGACAGCGAAGGATGTAGCTGCAGGTGAGGAGGGAGGAGATGAAACCGCTAAAGAAGAAACATTAAAAGATAAAGCCATTAGCTCAGAACCTGATGCCCAATCAAAACCCGCAAAGAAGAGCAACAAGAAGAAGAAAAAGAAACAGAAGAAGGATATAAAAAGGGTCCCAGAAGAACAGCTGAACCCGGAGTCTCCATCAGAACTTCAGGCTCTGGAAAAAGAAAAACCCACACAAGATAAAGTTACAAAGCAACCCAAAAAGCTGCAAAAGAATTGGACTAATGCAACACTTTCTGGCTCTATTGATAAAAACACTGACGTGAGTGCATGGAAGGACCTGTTTGTTCCCTCTCCTGTGCTTAAGGCACTGAGCAGTCTGGGATTTGGTTCACCAACACCTATTCAAGCCCTGACTTTGCCTTCCGCTATCAGGGACCGTATGGATATCCTGGGGGCAGCTGAGACAGGTAAGATGAAATACCTTTTGCTTTATTTTTGTCCTACAACAATCTGTCTTCATATTTCCATAAGTGAAGTTAATGTGAGTCACTGTCATTATAGGAAGCGGGAAGACATTGTCTTTTGGGATTCCCATGATCCACACCATCCTGGAGTGGAGGAACGGCTCAGAAAAGCTTGTTGAGGACAGTACTGAACCAACCACACAGGTGGAAAGTTTGTATTTACCAGCTCTAGATGAGTCCACAAAGTCAGGAGACGCAGCTGAATCCACAGTAGAAGAGGACGACATGGAGGCTGTGGAAGAAGAGGAGGGTGAACGCATCTCAGAGCAAGATGACGGTGACACAGACGAACATGGCAGCGAAGATGAACAAGATGAAGATGATGCGAGACTCGGATGTGTTCAAGTAATTGAAAATGCAGATTTTGATTTCGATCCGACCGCTGAAGCGGAAGAAAAATCTGCCGGTGATCGGGGTCAGCCTCTGCTCGGACTGGTGCTCACTCCCACCAGGGAGCTGGCCGTTCAGGTCAAGCACCATATTGATGCTGTCGCAAAATTCACAGGTAAATCATTACAGGTTTATGATACTATTTTTCTAAATAATGAAAGAGAATTATCAACGTCATGATACTCAAGATGTTCTTGTTGTGCAGACATCAAAACAGCGATAGTGGTGGGTGGAATGGCACAACAGAAACAAAGAAGGATGCTCAAGCGAAGACCAGAGATCATTATTGCCACTCCAGGACGTTTGTGGGACTTGATCAAAGAGAGGCATCCACATCTGCTGAACTTGAGACAGCTGAGGTATGTCACACTCCACATTTCTTTCTTATAGTCTTGGGCAATATGGTAAAATCATTATTGCAATATGAAACTAATATTTCTAAGATGGCAAAAAATCTAAGATAGAATTATCATATTTAGCACAATAAACTGCATTCCACTGTACTGCATACTACATATATGAAGCAAAGGTCATCACACATGTAGAACTCAGTATAACAGAATTTTATTTGTATAATTTGAACACAAAAAACATACAGTACATACAGCTGGGTGACAATTTAAAGGATACACCAACCCAAAACTACTACTCTTTCTTAGTATTTCTATTTTTTCCGTTAATTTGTCACCCGCCCATGTATCCCCGCCGGCCGGCCCAGTTTAACACAAAACATCAACGAAAAAGGGAAAAATTAATTCGGAGTGGAGGACCAGCCATCCTCAAACTCTGGCAGAAATGTTGCCAGTTTTTCATAACAACAAAATGCTTTGAGTCAATATTTTGGACAACAAAATTTTGTAGAACACTGAGATCATGTCATTACAATACAAAGTGCGAGTCAATAAACTGTAGTACTGGTTTATCATCCGGCCCTGCTTTCTTATTTATTCATCAGATTTGGACAAACTGCGTTATTGGTTTCGGTTCTTGAAGAGTAGATGGATGACCATAACTGCTTTTTGATGGCACAAAGCAAAGGGACCTAGCAACGACTGCAGACACATTATTGCTATTTGTAAGAGGAGTCCTTGTGCAATCATTTTTCAACAAAAGGCCGGAGGCAGCAGCAAAATGTTTATTGAAAGCCAAACAGATAGCAGTGGTGATGACTGCTTTTATTGACTCTGACTTCCTTCTAGATTGAGTGCATGTTTTATTCTAATCTCTTTTAAAAAAAGAAACAAAGGACGATGGTGGTCTAACAGGCCAAAGCTAAATCAACATTTGAAATATCAGAAGTGTGATGAATATTTCTGTGATACAGATCATTCAGAGGCTTGTTTGTAAGATTTCAGTGCTACCGTTTATTAACTACTGTTGTTCTACAGGTGCCTGGTCATTGATGAAGCAGATCGCATGGTAGAGAGAGGCCACTTTGCAGAGCTGGACAGTCTGCTGGAGATGCTGAACACCGTGCACTTCAATCCCACGAGGCAAACATTTGTGTTCTCTGCCACACTGACCATGGCTCACGACCTGCCCACCCGCCTCCTGCAGAAGAAGAAGAAGAATCTGGACCAGAGGAACAGGCTGGAAATTCTCATGGAGAAAGTGGGGATCAAGTCCAAACCCAAAATCGTTGACCTGACCAGGAAGGAGGCAACTGTGGAGACACTGACTGAGACACGAATCCACTGTCAGAAGGAGGAGAAGGACTTCTACCTTTATTACTTCTTGCTCCAGTATCCTGGCCGCACCATGGTGTTTGCCAACAGTATAGACTGTATCAAGAGACTGAACTCCCTGCTGGTTATCTTGGACTATACTCCACTGCCTCTTCATGCCAACATGCACCAGAAACAACGCCTCAAAAACCTGGAAAGGTTTGCTGAGAGGGAGAGGTGAGTTTTGCACACGCTAGCAGTAGCTAGCAGACTTAATCTGTTAATTGTGTCCTATGATGAAATATAAAAACCTGTTACCTGCAAATAAGGGCTTAAGGGTTTTATCTGTTATGCACGAAACAGCCTTGATTATGTTTCCCATGACTACTTCCATCATTAAGTTTAATCCTAATACATATTTACAGAATATGTTCTATAATGTAGTTTACAACCACAGTAGTTTCACATATTAAAAGAAGTCCTGCCAAAAGTGTAAAAGGGATTCACTCCTCGAAGTGGAGGTTGGTAAAACAACTCAAGTGCACTTTGCCTGTATGTGTGCTTGTGTTGCTGCTATCTTGGTAAAAAAAAATAAAAAATTCACATTGGAGCTTACACAGTGGAAGTTTAACACATTGAGATGTACAATTCCCAGTTCTTGTAATAAGCAGTAGTCCTGTGCTCAGTATCATAGAAAGTGATAGTCACAGTGCTATTCTTAAGTAGTTTTTTTTTTTTTTAATGTATCTGTTTAGTAGCACCTTCCTTGGCATGTGACCTCTGCTACATTTTTTTCAGAGTAACCCCAAAAGGAAATAAAATAGTTGTCTGAATTTCCTTCACAGTTGTGTTCTGCTGACTACTGATGTAGCAGCAAGAGGACTGGATATCCCCAATGTTGAGCATGTTATTCACTACCAGGTAAGCTTAGCCATAGCATTTATTATTTTGATAGCCAGTTACTTTATATTCAAACATAATGAGTATTGTCTTTATATACAAGGGTGCTACTAATTGAGTGTAACACCAACCAGGTTCCCAGGACATCTGAGACTTACGTCCATCGGAGTGGCAGAACAGCAAGAGCCACCAAAGAGGGTCTCAGTTTGCTGCTAATAGGCCCTGATGACGTGATGAACTTCAAAAAGATTTACAAGACTCTTGGGAAGGATGAAGAGCTCCCCATGTTCCCCATAGAGACCAAATGCATGGAAGCAATCAAGGTAAGATCCAGCATTAGGTCCTGTCTTTATGTGACATTAATAAGTTTAAGTTTGATTGTTTATTGTTGAGTGTGTTCCTCCACAGGAGCGGGTAAACTTGGCCAGACAGATAGAGAAAATTGAGTTCCACAACTGCAGAGAGAAGCACCACAACTCCTGGTTCAAACAAGCAGCAGAGGCCCTGGATGTAGACCTGGATGATGATCTTTTAATCGGTAACACAAATTCTCTTACATCTTGAGTTTATTTAAAAATGTTTAAATACAGACAACTGAATATACCATATATGTCCACAGGGAGAGCAAAGGACGAGGAAGATGACAGAGAGCAGCAGAAGATGGTGAAGGGGATGAAAAAGCATTTGAAGCATTTGATCTCCCAGCCTGTATTCAAGAATGCGATAAAGACCAAATACCCCACTCAGATGGGAAAGCTCTCCCTGTCTCACATGCCTCTAGCGGGGATGGAGAGTGCCCTCACCAGGGTTTCAATAGAGGAGAAGAAAGAAAAGTTAAAGAAAGAAAAGTTAAAGAAAGGTGTTTCACCACAGAAGAAAACAAAGAAGCAGAAGAAAGAACAGCAGCAGTGACATGTTTATGGAAATGTGTTTAAAAGTACATCTTTGAAAAGATTTATGTAGTTTTTTTTTACATAGATTGATTTCCATTCATCTAAATACGTATTGCACAATGTGCAAAAAATGTATTACCAGATGTTTCTTAATTGCTGTACACTGCAAGATTTTATAAAAATCTCTTTTCATAACTGTCTGAAAGCCCAGTTGGGATTTTATTCAACCAAAGTCTGTATCCCTGAGTTGAGCGGAGTCCTACTGGATCACTGGTCAGTGTTGAGGTCGTGGGTAGAGAATGTTATAATGTGACGTTTGGTAGAGGAGGTGCAGGGAGGGTTCAGCACCCTCGGGAATGACGTGGTGAGCCAACTGCTGTTCATCGCCCTCCATAGAGACGATGTGGATGCAGATATCCAGGGCCTGTGACAGAGCTAAGATGTCCACATGATCACACTCCATTGCCATGGTCTCCACTTCCTGAATGAAGACAATGAAGACATTACCAAACCTGGACGGTCCTGATTTACGGACACAAAAAGATGGTCTTGTATTTTTTCACTAGATGGCAGCAACACTGTTACTAACTTGATGACAGTAGATTTGCAGATTGGGCGCCTCCACAAAGTTGCAGAAGAAGTCGGCATGGTTTTGCAAGTGTGCAGAAGTAAGCAGCCTGAGATACTGCACCACACTGTCAGAGGTCACCTGCTCATTGAAGAGCTGGAGCAGCCGGTCTTCCTGCTCATCAGCCTGGCACTGCTCCACAACATTTACAACCTTCAGGAGAACACAAACAGTTAGGTATTTTTACTGCACCTTTTTCAATAAGCAGCTAGATCCAGTAGCAGAATAATGACAACAAGAGCATAGGTCATAGTAGTAATAATGTAAGGATTCATTTCAAGGGTTTGGTGTGTGACATTGAGATTTTCAGTATTTTATTTTTTCCCCATATATAGAATAGATTGGTGCTTTAAATAGTAGTTAAAAGTGTGAACTAACTGGAAATCTAATGAAATTGTAGATTCAAGAACAATGCCATATATTGGAAAAGTTAATTAACTATGCATTAAATAGGAATATGTTAATCACATTATCTTTGTGGCGGACAATCATATGGACTACTCAAACTGGAATTTTAGAGATATCTTACAAATAGGTCCCAAGCCACTTTGACATATTCTCCCACAATGTGAACATCTGTTTAATGTGACTTTGTTTTATCACTGTAGCCAGTCATTCCTGGGTGTTTCCTTCCCAACAATAAATCTCCCTTATATTTGTTTAGAGGTGAACATGTTATTGAAAAGAATCTTACTTACCAGGCTTATTGAAATTGGTGTTTTGCTGACCTAATGCTACCTGTTAAGTTAAAACAAATGGTGTGACTGTAAAAGGAAATGCATTATTTACTGTGTTCAGGTGGCGCTTGAAGGAGCTCTCATCAAATCCCGCAGAAGAAAAGTCTTTGCAGGTTTGAATAATTCGCTCCTTAAATCTGAAAGTGAAATCAATGAGACAACGCCACCTTAAATTGAAGTGACTTGAGTGTGAACGAAAGGCAGCAATGATAATAACTGACCTCTGCAAAGGCCTGGCATTGTGTAGGACTGACTCCAAGTGTGCGTAGCAGAGGGCTCTGTAGAAGCAGTTCCCATCCCCTCGTACTTGTCTCACGGAGGAAAACTGGCTGCTTAAATCCTAACAAAAGGACAATAGGTGTGATTAAAATGCGTTAAGAGTGGCGACTACCTTCAGCACACCACCCCACCCCAACTAAAAAGCCTACTTTATATTTGGCACCAGGCGTTTGCTCAGGAAACAGCGAAGAAATGTCCTCTCTGCATGAGACAAGGCTGGCACCCTCCATCTGTCGAGAAACAAGCAGCGTTACTATCCGCGAGACCAAACCGCAGCTTCACGGGGCCGCGCACGCGACATACCTTCGCATTTCAACATAGAAACAATGTAAGAAAAACGTAATTACAGTTTGTCAAGACTCCGTCCGTCCAAACTGCGTGTCACGACATTGTTGCAATTTTCTTTGCATTTTCTAAAAAACCGGATGTTTGCAGGTACCACGTGCTCGCGTTAAAGGGACAGTACAGGCGTTGTTCAGTGCTGGAGTCATGCCTTCCTGTTGGCAACCCACAACTAGCCTCTTATGGGTTAGCTACCTTTCTCCATGTTTCCATTACTGTAAGTTATGGTTGACAGGTATGAGAGTTATTATATTTAACCTCACACATTCAAAATCTCCCAAAAAGTATTATCAGCAAATTGTAGTTAAGATATTAAAGTATATATTACTTAATTTTAATGTGTCTGGTAGAGGTGGAGCTAATTCTAACTGCTTTATTTAAAATAATGCATCATATTTATGTGTTTATGTTTTGAATGTAACAAGTAACTAGCCCGCACATTATTGTAGTGGAGTAAAATGTTTAATATTTCCCTCTGAAATGTAGTGGAGTAGAAGTATAAAGTAGCACAACATGGTAAAAACTTACTATGGAAAGGACAAGTCTTTCAAAGTTGCCCTTAAGTAATGTTACAGTACTTGAGTAAATGTATTTAGTTACTCTCCACCACTGGTCATCAATAAGTTGTTGTCTGGTGGTCTGAAGCCCTAAAGTTAGAGGGAGGGATTTATCTCTTCATTAAGGAGAGGCTACAAAAGACAAAGTAAGCTATTACTGTATAGGACACTCACAACCCAGATTATTACTTAATCCTGAGGAACGTAAACTACAAAATAAACCCCTAAAACATATGGCTAAACATGTTTTACTGCTTTCACCACATTGCAACATAATTAAGGATAATTGTCACAAAAAAAACCTGTGTGACAGTGTCTGACCACAGAGAGCAGAGTCAAGAATTTGTTTTGTTTGGTTGCAGCATTTGGCTTTGCATAACATGTAGTTAGGATTTAACGTACAACAGGAAAGTCAGATGCTCTCTGCCACAATATATATACTATATTTGATAAATAAAATGCAGAATATTACAAATACATCTAAAATACTTATTTGTATATCGCAAATATTTTGTTTGTATCATCTAAATTGGAAAATAATCACATACCACTGCACCAGCCTTGTTGATGGGTATTACCTCCTGTCGGCATCATTTGACTGTGACCATTTTATTTTAAAATGCAACAATGATTACATTCCAGAGATACACATTTGCAAAGTTCTGATGCTCAAATACACTTTGCACATTATATTACTTACAAAATCTATATAAATGTTTAAGTGCAAAATTTGGTGCATAGCATTTTGCATTAAGAGTTATGAACACTGAAACTGCATCAAAGAGTCTAAACAACTCTTAATCTTAACAAAATGACTTAACACAAAGTTAATTTACTAGCTTTTCCAGAGTCAAACTACTGTCTCCAAGGTAAAAAATGAACATTCACGCTCACACTTAGCATGAAAACACGGTGATAAGTTGTAAAAGTTCTACATCAACTCGTCGTCCCGCTCTTCCTACTGACTTTACTCGAACTTTTGATTTGTGTTTTACTGCCAATGCTTTTCATCGATCCCCTCTCTCTTCTGTCTGTCAGAACTGTTCTACTAGTCATTGCAGACCCCGACTCCATCAGTCTCCTCGCTCTCTTCTCCGTGTCTGCCTTGTCCAAAATGTACTCCTGAAATAAAACTTGTGGTAAGTTAAAAGTTAGGTCAAGTAATTTTAATTATCAGTGGGAATACTAATAATAACTATAAAGATATTACCTTTACCATTTCCATCATTGTCAATATGTCCATGTTTTCCAGAGGTCCATATGCTGCTAGATAACACTGCTCTGCGAGGTTGTTGATGGCCATAAGCAAGACTCCTACTTCTTCAACCTGAGAGATAATGGCACATATTTCTGTCCACACTCCTATCTGTAATTTGATAAAGGGTCCTTTCTGAGTCATATTGGAACTTGAAAGCATACCTTCTCTCTGGACAGGCTTTGTTGCATCAGCAGGTTGACCTCTGCCTGCTTGTTCTTCTCTTTCAGGGTTTCCAACTCACTCTGGAGTTCAGACAGATCCTTATTGGCCATCTGCAACACACATAAATAGACTCTAATAGGTTGTTCATTCAAGCACTGTCACACATCTACATAATATCTGTGCATGTCTGACCAGTTTTTTTATGCTGTGCTGCTGCTTCATGGTCTGCAGTTGTCGCTGGCCCTGCTCCACCTCCTCCTCCAGACGCTCCAAGCGCTGCAGCAGATCCTGGTGGGTGATGGACAGGGTCTCATGGCGTCGAATGATGGGCATAACCAAAGAGTCGGACCCATTATCAAGGTAAGCTGAAAAATATTGTGCAGTTTAAAGCCTAAGTGTGTAATGAACCCATTAGGATTAACAGAACATGTAAAAGGTTGTTTTTAAGCTTACTGGTGGGGAGATAATCTAGTGTTTTCATCAAATAGTCTTCATAGATTTTGTATTTTGCCATTCTCTCCTTTAAAACTTGCTGCCTGTGAATTGAAATGTGGAAAAACTTAAATATAAAAGGTGACTAAAGGAGTGATATCCTCGCTCTAAGGCTTAAAGTTCTCACCTTGCTCTAAGTTGTTTCAGCTGTTCTGTCAGATCTTCTATCTCTCTCTGCTTCAAAACGTTCTGCTCCCGCGCAGCCTCATACTTCTTCAGTGCCCGACGTCGCTTCACTTCATTTTCAGCCACAAACTTCTCAAATTTTATCGCTCTTTCTTTAGTCTGGGTAAACATACCCAAAAGGGAACATAGTCTTAGTATTAGGACAGTGTCATTTGACAGTGATAGACACCTACTCCTTAATCATTATTGTATTTAAGTAGTTTTGGGAGGTTTTAATTCACCTGCTGTTGTTTTATCTCCAGTTCAGACCTCCTCTGAGCTAGTGCCTCCACACAGCTCTTAAACTCTTGCCGTTTGAGTGTGAGTTGCTTGTTCACCTCGTCCAACTCAGCCTGTTTCTTCAGAACCAGGGTCTTTTGCAAAGTGTTCACTCCTGTCTCGAGGACTCTGCTGGAAGTCTGAACATATAGGAATACTACTAGCTGAATAAACATTAAAAGTATTTCCAGGTACTGAATGATCCCTAAAAAGTGAGTCCTACAGGCAACAAAATATACTTTTCTGTATTATTATTTTAATATTATCATATTTCCCAAATGCACAAATGACAATAAAAACTTTTATACTTATGTTTATCACATGTCTTACTTATTCTGTCTTACCTCTGTTACAACAGGTATGTGGTTGACATCTTCCTCCTTTCTATGCCTAAGGACAAAAAATAAATATTTATAAAAAAGGGTTTATAAATAAAAACGCTGTCCACTGTAATAAAAGCACAGGCCTACCTGGTGTCTTCCGACTGTGTTACAAAAATGTTTCTTATTCTGTTTTGCACCGTCAGTTTTAGACGGGGGTCGCTGCTATCTAAGACAGGAAGGGAAGAAGTCATCATGTTTTTTCTGTGAATATATCGTCCAGGAGTCCTGGTGAGTGAACAAGTCCTGCAGTTATTCCACTTTCGGACGGTCAGAAGGACGACCAAGGGTCTTTTCCGGATGTTTTTCTTGGATTTGTGTAGCAGTTTCCCGGGAAACGCAGGCGAGACAACAGGGAACGTGCCGGGATCGTTTCTCCGTTGTCATGGGAACTGCCATGGAGGCGGTTCTGTTTTATGGACTGAGTGAGAGGCATAGAAATGAGATCGTCAGAGGTCCAAAGCGAGGAGGAAATTAAAGAGCGCTCACTCCGTGCTAATGCCCGCGAAGTTTTACCGAGGAACAAACTATGGATTGCTGAGTCTGAAGTCCAGGAAGGGTTCGGGATGTTATCAACTTCTTTAGGAGATCACGTGATTAATTCTGCTCCTCTGCAGACTATGTGCAGTGGTGGCAGAAATACTCAAAATCACCATATTCTGATGATTTTCACTGGACAGGAAGGGTTTCGACAATCTGAAACGTAAATGTTGTGGAGTAAAAAGTACAACATTTGATGTAGAGGAATATAAATATAAAGTTGCATAAAATGGAAATACATAAAGTAAAGTACCTCACATTTGTGCTTGAGTAAATGTATTTAATTACATTCTACCACTGGACATGTCCACATGTCAATGTTTATATTAAATGAAAAATAAAAACATAAAAAAAATAGCTCTTTCCATTAAAGATCTCCCTCAGACATGTTTTTAGACATGTAGCTAAAATACTCATCTGATATAAAAAAAAAAATCCATAAACTTATTTTTCATTTTCATAACAAAGTTTAAACTGGTGGATGTAAGATGTTTCCAACTTGACTGAAAAGTTCATTCTCAGTGTATGTGCACTGGAGGTTTCAACACTTGTGTAAGTTGCATATTGAACCATAATGGTTTCAAAACTAGCGATGTCATAAAACCGCATACACGTCTTAAACCCAGATTAGACGTAAGCATAATCCAAGTGAAGTAACAGTAACCAAACCACATTTTTTACTGGAGGTAGACTTACTAAAATATTAGGTTTTATATACTTATTTGACATGTCATAACAAGTTAAATTAATAATAGTAATGATGGTTGTATACACATACGTTTTTCTAATAGACCTTTTTTTCCCAACAGACATTTTGACATGGCAAGAAAACCACAGGTGTAATTATTAATATGAATATGAACTTAAAGTAGCTTTTTAGTTCCAGGTTGCTGTCGCTGTGCATGCTGGCTCACTGATGAGGCTTGCTAATAAACTTAAATGGAACAGATGGTTAACAGTATTAATTCCACCTGCTATGAAAAAGGCTCAATACAAGCTTCTGGGGACACTCAAATTGAGTGGTATTAGCTTCACCCAGGTATTTCCTGCCATGACAAGTCTATGAAAAGTGTTTGTGTTAAATAGAGAACAAAAGTGCTCAGAGGAAAAATTCCATGTGAACTAGTTGACCATGACCATGTTGTAATTAAATACCACCTCTCAGTATTGCCACTGTTTTATCTTCTTATCCAACAGACCTGCTCTAAATCCTACGTTCATGGTGGCTATGATGTTAGAGAAATATTCACTTTGGAATAATGGACATAACAAAACTGTGTGTCTGCATTTCCTGTCATATTTCAACTTAAAAGCACCTTGACAGCACAGTTAAAATAAAGTTACGTTAAATAAATAATAAGTGTGTCTTAAGAAAATTAAGAAAGAAATTTGGCAACAGCCTCCGAGCTACTAGGTAGTCTAGTTCTTCCAGTTGTAAATAGATATGCTGAAGGACTTGTTTGTGTCAAACAAAAAAACAGATGCTTAATGGTTTAGATGCAGGAAGTCATTTTCACAAACACTTCCGAAGAAGTGATTGTGAAACAAAAATCAGCTGTCATTGTTCTGTGCTCTTCAAGCATGTTTTCACACTTCACATTGCAATAGGAGCTGATACAACAGAGGAATATGAGACAGTTTTATAAAGGTGGATCAACACTCACTCTGTGAATGAGGAATCAGGATCACTTGGTGAGTTCAATTATGTTTCTTCTTTAACTTTTATACTTTGAGTCATCCAAATATGTTTAAATCTCTCCTCTCACTGTGTGTGGGTATTTATTTTTTGTTTAAAAATATTATTTAAGAGCAGTATTTTCTTAGTGCATTAATCATAGTCGCAGTTGAGCAAACAAACTAACTCCAGCTTTATTTGTTGTTCTAATGGCATCTTTCTGCTGCATAACTCACTGTAGCACTACACACGACCTCACATTGGTGTTGCCTCTGGAGCAGCAGAATCAAGTGGAATCAAGCACAGTTGAACATGCCCTTAAAAGGCATCTATCCTCATAGCCTGAGCTGCTGCTGCTGCTCTGATGCCTGCCAGTGCAGATTTCAGCTCCATCAAATGAGTTCGGTCATACAGTATGACTATATAGTATTTGCGTGTGTTACTGTGTATGTATTACCTTTTCTTTTAGGGACTTTAAAAACCTGTTTTTACATTTGCAGCTGTTCTGACTATGGTTTCCTGATCTGTTGGTCTTGATCATCAGCCTCATCCCTGGTCTATGAAGAGGACAGCAGCACACTGTTGGACATCCAGGTCCTCGGGCTGGACAACGCATCTGCTTCTGTGATGATCGCAGTCAGCAGATCCAGGTCTCTTTACCAGAGGCTAAACAATGATCTCAAATACAGACTGGCTGTCTACTCCCTGAGTCTCCACACATCAACCAACTCAACAGTGAACTTGCTCACGTGAGGAAACATGATATTATTTTATAAAGCACTTTTAAAATAAGGGGGAGTCTGTTGTATAGTATGCAGATGCAAAAATGTGTTATAATACAACAATCCCTTTGAAATGTTGAAATTAGTTTTTTTATGTGTTAAATATGGCTGTCCTTATTTATATTCTACTTTATTGATAATTATCACAATGGTTAAAAGTTTTGCCTGTGCTGAATATTTGAAGTAGAAACTTTGGTGTCTGTGAAATCATTTAAACATTAACTAAACTTAATGTTATATCTGGTTCACAGAAAGGGAAATAAATGATCAAATAATTTTAAAAAATCATTATAATCGAATATTTAGTGATTACAGCAACAAGCTAGAGTAGTTAACAGTAGTTGGAGGTCAAGGTGAGATGTGACAAAGTTATATTCCATTATTCTTTTTTTTTTCACCTATAACTTTAAAAATACACACAAAGAAAAGAAGAAGTAAAAGAAAAACACCCCTTCTCTAATATCTATTGGCTGCAGTTGGCCTGACTGTAAATGTGCAACAGCTGAATGTCTGCCCTGTTAAATGTCTAAGACTGCTGCTATGACGTCCCTGTTGATTCCTAAGATTGGCAGGTTGTTTGCCAATCACAAAACACCTTTGTCTTGTGGAGAAACTGCAGCCCACTAAACGTGATGTAGTGGGGTCATTAGTTACAAGCCAGTATGAGGTAAGGTACAATTATGTCACTGTACCTCTGTGACACTACAGGCACTAACAATATCTGGTGGTTTGTCTTAAAGAGAAAGGAATCGTTTTTTTAGGAGTTAGAGTTTTGCCAGACAAACTGTCGCCAACCAAATAAAAAAAGTAAAGACACAATTATGCTCAAATGCTCAATGGGACTTCATTTTGAACTCTTTTAGGAGACATATGAGGGGAAATAATTTTCTTTGAAAGGCATATGAAATGATGTCATTTTCTCTGGTGTGAACACATTACCAAACAGATTATGTTCACAGAGGTCACATCCTCAGTAGTGTTTCTGGGCACTTGGGGGGGTTAAAGGAGTTTCTACAAATACACACCGGTTATATACAGTAGGTTTTTAACAGTGTGTGGGATTTAGTGGCATCTAGCAGAGAAGTTGCAGATTCCGGCTAACTGAACACTGCTCACGTCTGTATTTGACGACCTGGATATGAGAACGGTTTGTGAAAAACATGAAAGGCTCTTCTATCTACAGCCAGTGTTTGGTTTGTCTGTTCTGGGCTACTAAGCTACTTCTGGCAGGTCAGCATGGCGGACTCCATGGAAGGCAACGCGCATCTGTAGATTTGAATGGCTCATCCTAAGAAAAAACAAAAACACAACAGTTCTTATTTTTAGGTGATTATAGGTGAATGGAAACATACTTATGAATATTATACTCCATTTCTTCCAATAGATCCTCTGAAATGTTACACATGGACCTTTACAGGCATGATTCTCCTAATTTACATGAAAAGGGTTCTCTGTACATCTTCCAGCAGTTCCCTTCCTATTTTTGACTCTTTTATTGCAAAACCAAACAAAAATTAATATGGAAAAATAAACTGTTTACAAAATTTAAACAGATTCTAGCCCATCACTCTGGGGAAACTGAATTTCACCCTTTTTTTGGTTTCGAGTCAAGGGGAGGGGTATTTTCTAAAATCAGCCCCTTCCTGTATCGTACATTAGATTGAGCTTTCAGCTGTGACATTCAAAAGTGAGTAGTGAGTGGGTCATAGTGGATCTATCTTTAAACTGATGTAGTAATCATTGTTATTCCTTGTTTTGTGTTTTACCTCTGGTACTATTCCTGCCCATTCTTCCAGAGTTTTTTTTTTTAAGATTAGTGCTTTTTATTATCCGGTTGTTTAATTGTTTAATGGAATCCAGCCAATTAAATAAAGACACCATGCAAAGAAAAAAGCCTCCACTCGGGCTGCATTATCTCCAGCGCTGTTTGCCTTATCTCTGGATGTTCGAGTCTCTTGACATATATGGATAGACCCGTCACCCTGCGGCCTGACAATACAGTCCCAAAATAATCTGAGAGCGCACAGCTGAGCCCCGCTCGTTGGCTGCGCGCTGCTCCGTCGCTGCTGCGCCCTGTGAGGAGACACTGCCGTCCAATCTCTCATCAGTAATGACCAAATTCAGCTATTCTGAATACTTATCTCAGTTCCGTAATGCTGGAGGTCAATGTAATAATGTTCTGTCGCGACTGCCAGGAGACAGGAGGAGAGGAGACGGTCCGCGCGACGTAACGTCAGAGCCGGAGTGAGTCTTTTGTTGTGGGCTGTTTGACACGGAGGCTGCGATGTGTGTGTGTGTGTGTGTGTGTGTGTGTGTGTGTGTGTGTGTGTGTGTGTGTGTGTGTGTGTCTGAGTGTGTGTGAGAGAGAGAGAGAGAGAGAGAGAGAGAGAGAGAAAGAGGTTTTCTGTGTCACTATAGAATACGAGTGATACACGATTACTCCTGGTTGATTATAATCCAATATGTGTTAGAATGTCTTATTTAGGTTCAATAAAGCCAAAAAAACCCCAACAGAATCACTTAAATATAGATAGATAAGATTTAAGGTCCATGTTTGCATCAGAACTACAGCCCTCACACAGGGATGTCTGAAATTACACTCAATCACATTTAAGTATTAATTCACTTATACAGTTTTTTTTTCTCCTTTCAAGGGATGTTGACCCAGTGGTCTTTGCCATCAGGAGAGGGGATGTGAAGGCTGTTAATGATCTGGCAACATCAGCCTCTCACCGCCTGCTGAAGGAGAACAAAGATGGGTGGATACCTTTGCACGAAGCTGCCTTTTGTGGACAGACAGAGTGCTTGAAGACCCTACTGAGGGGTATGACATTGAAAGCGTCATTGAGGCTCCCCAAACAGTGTTCACTTATAATCACGTGGGCTCTGTGTGATAGTGTGGGAAAAGGAGAACTATTCAAAGTGGTGTTTTGCCGATTGCACATTTTCAAAAGGCTAAATTTGTCACTCAGCTGGTTTGTGTGATATGTATATTTTCTGCTCCAGCCCATCCAGGGTCAGTAGACAAACGTACCTTGCAGGAGCAGACGGCCTTGCTGCTTGCTGTGTCTTGTGAACACTCGTCATGTGTGCGATGCCTTCTGGAGGCAGGCGCTGACCCTGACATCAGCAGCAAGAACAAAGAAACCCCTTTGTATAAAGGTACAGCTGTGAAATCAATTGTATATAGTAGAACTATGATGGATAACTGTGTATCAACCAGGTGTTTGGAAGAAATCACCCAGTGTCTCATCTGTTTCTGTAGCCTGTGAGTTGGAGAATGTGGACATGGTGAGCCTCATTCTATCCTACGGTGCCACTGTGAACCAGCGGTGTGGTCAGGGTTGGACAGCCCTCCACGAGGCTGTATCCAGGAACAACACAGAGATCTGTGAGATACTAATAAGAGCCAGGGCCACAATCAATCCACCGAATACCTACAGCATCACACCACTCATTGTAGCAGCTCAGCGAGGACAGATGAGGGCGCTGTGTTACCTTATTGGGAAAGGTACTTTTCTGCACAAAATATTCCTCCTTTTCATGTTTCTGATCTCCACATAAAGGTTATAAAAGACTAATGCTTTTCTGTAGGTGCAGATGTGAACATGCAGACGTGTGATGGTGTCACGGCGCTGCATGAGGCTAGTAAAAATGGCCACAAGGAAAGCGTAGCAGTGCTGATAACTAAAAATGCAGACGCCAACAAACCCACTAACTCAGGACTGCTGCCGCTGCATGTTGCTGCCCAATATGGACACCATGAGTAAGTTGACATACTATAACTTATTATTAGGTAAAGATGTAAGCATTGAGATACAATAGTGAGGTTATTGTAAATGGAGCAATGATAATAGTTGCATTGTATTTGTTGTCTTTATGTATTTCCTCACTTTGTGTTCAGGATTGTGTCCCTGCTTGTCTCAGTGACAAGTCGAGCCAGGCTCCGCCACAGTTGTATCAGCCCCCTCCACCTGGCAGCAGAGCACAACAGACACACTGTGGCAGCTGTCCTACTCAAGACAGGTGCAGATGTTAATGCGACACTGGCCCACAGTCACTCCATCCAGTATGCTGATGGACGTGCAACAGCCCTCTACTTTGCTATCGCCAACGGCAGCACCGAGACAGCAGAGGTGTTGCTGAACGCCGGCGCTAGTCTAAACCTAGACCCAGTCAGTCCTCTACTGATGGCTGTACGGCAGGGCTGTGTCAGCACTGTGTCCTTGCTGCTGGAGAGAGGTGCCGATGCAAGCGCCAGAATCCCTTCTTATGCTACTACGTTCCCTGCCGTTGTTGCACTTTGCATGAATAATCTGCCTCTACTCAAGTGCCTTTTGGACAATGGCTGCGACGCCTTCTCCTGTTTCACATGTACACACGGCAGTGCCCCTCACCCGACATCAGGAGGATCGCATATAAGAAGTGGCAGCAATGGATATGTTCTGCAGAATGACATTATGCTTCCTTTAAACTGCAGCGAGCCTTCAGGAAGGGCAACTCAGGTGTGAAAAATAAGCAAAAACAATGTCACAGATTTTTGAATAACTCAAATTTGTAATTTTGCTTTTTTCTCTGATTTTCTTCTATAGTTCTGTGAGTGGATCTCAACATCAGTTATGTGTAAATGGGCAGGACCGGTCATAGACCTGCTGATGGAGCATGTTGGTCATGTTCAGCTGTGCAGCAAACTCACTGAACTACTAGACAGCCGAGAAGAATGGCTCGCTGTTAAGAGGAAGTCATGTAAGCATCAGACAAAATCTTATCACTCACTTACATCCTAACATCTCTTTCACTTCTGACTTTCACTTCCTCCCACATGCATATAACTGTTGTAAATATGCAAGTGACCATCCTCTTTTTTCTTGTCCACAGTATCACCGCGTCCACTGCTGCACCTTTGCAGATTAAGGATTCGGACCCAAATGGGGAGACACAGACTAAAATCTCTCACAAGCCTCCCTCTGCCAGACAGACTGATCAGATACCTGAGCCTGGCTGACTGACTTTAAGATGAACGTCAAGGAATATAGGCATCAGAGATGTGGCTAAATTTATCGTTTTGTGTTTCTTTTTTTAGTTTAATCTAATATCTCGAATCTGTAAATGGTCCCCTCAAAGGAATTCTCTATGTATAAAATGCCTATTTATAAAATATGTAATGTGACAATAAGGTTCTTTAATCGGTCCGTCTGAAGGATTTGTAGTTTCACATAAAGAGTGAAAGTGGAAATGATCTAATGCCCAAAGGAGTTCTTGAGGAAAGTTGAATCATTTATTTAAAAATAAAAGTCATTGTTTCAAACGGGCCTATCAAACATTACTTTGACAAAGAAAAGGCAAATCTATGTCCCACATTCTATTCTCATAGTTGAAAAAGAAAACTAAAACAGGATGCTTTCATTCACTTGCATGACTTTTGGTACTTAAAATAACAAGTCATTCTCTGTAGAGACCTAAAAGCAGAAAGCTTTTAACTTACTGTCAGTTTTCAGATACTTGGAGGCATCAGACTGGCATGAAAGTGAACATGATGAAGTTATTCTGCAAGTGCAACTCAGTCCTTTAGATTTAAAAGATAAAAATAGACGAAGCATTCCAATAAGTGCTTGAGGAAGGGTCTCGTACAAATGTTGAAAGAGGAAGAGTTGGCTGTGAGGACACATGAAAAATGGAAATAATTAGTCCTATATACACATGTTTTGTGTGATGGGTCCATTAGTAGAGCATTTAAATGAATCCAAACACACTGAAGATGGGTGACTGCACGGTGGGTTTGGTCGGTATGGGTTTGACCACAACGTGCGTGTGAATTTTCTGTCCATAAGGATGCTCGGGTCTCTCTATCTCAGTCCCTGCTGCTTTGCTCCACAGTCCCAGGGGCGGATGGGGGACAACAATGTGACTGTGGAGGACCTGGTGTCCGTGGTACTGGAAGGGGCAGCACCCGCACACACTCACACAGTGGTGAGAGCTCAGGTCCAATTTCAGCGAGTCTTTGTCCGCAGAGTTGCGTCGACTAGACGCAGACAGGATGGCCTTTGCATCATCATCGTAACTCCTTTTCCTGTTTTCGTTTTCGCTGCCCTCAGGTGTACCTGCGGGGTTCTTTTTCAACCCTAGAAGTGAGTGCTCCTTCTTAGTTTGCGTCAACTTGGGTTCCTCCCAAAATGAGGCTGGTAGTTGGCGTTTCCTCATAGGCACCTGCTCCACAGCGCTCCCCGCATTCTCCACACCTTGCGCATCCGGACTGGCCTTCTCTGCGACCTTCACACTCGGGTGGACAGTCCCCACCGGTTTGGCGCACCCGTACTCAGCAGACCTGTGCGCGTGGCATCTCGGGACCCTGGAGTACTTCTGAGAGAAACGCTTAAGTTGTTTCTGCAGATATTTCCTGTGATCCACAGAGCGTCTGCACGGAGCTGACTTGTCCAAAGCCGCTTTAATGTCGCTGGATGCCAAATTCACAAAATTCAGCAACGTCTTGACCTCACTGTCTGCGTTTGCCATTGTTGCAAAGATTCAGGTCAACTCAGTCCATGTTAGAACTTGTAGTCCATCGTCAGGATCTGAAGGGAAATCAGAAAACAAATTTTGCGTAATTACGCATTGCTCTGTTTTAGGAGTTCTGAAATCAAGCGTAGATTGAACGTGGTGATGTGTAATAACCCTTTACTCACCACTGCTGGGTGAATCCAGACTCTCTCAAAACCACACTCCAAGCACAGACTTCTCTCCAGGCTGCAGAAGGGAGCACTTCAACAAGTTGAATGAATATAAACTCCTTGTAGTTATGGTGCTTTCCTTGAACCAATCAGCGACCCCAGGCCCCTCACAATGCACCCCAATCAGCCTCCAAGCGCCCTGGTATCGAATTCTTCACCATTGCAAATTGTTGTCATGGAGATCTGGAAAAAGCCGCTGAGGGGATGCGATATTTTCCCTACACGGTGATTTCTGCGCGTTGGCCAAAACATCTCCTATCCGAACCTATAATCCGGAGAGCGCATGAATAAAAATGAACGCAATTTCTGCTGAAACATGCACGAATTCTAACTTTATTCTGGAGCTGTTGACGTTGAGTTTGTAACACAGGGACCCCTCATACCCTCCCCAAGAGTGATGTCAGCTGTAGGATTTGGTGAGGGGTGGGGGGGATCTAAAGAGTGCATAACCATGGAAAGGGGCTTGAACGCTCAAGAATCTTGTCTTTCTGTTTGCCCCCTCAATCGAACGACACAAAGGCTGAATTACTCATTCAAACCTCGCGGGACAAAGGGAAAGGAGCTGGATAGCACTCCTGCATTTGTAGTCAAACATTTAGAGACTTAAATCGAGTCGTCATGAAGGAGAAAGAGTCGGACAAAGCCCATAGAATTGCCATCAGCAAACATTTTCCTGTGTCATATTATGGGGTCTCCATGGCTCCCTCTGGCCCGCGGACAATAGCACAAGTTTGCACACTCGAATACTGTCACCCTGCCAACGGCAACAAGGGCCCAAAACAGGACAATCCCCAGAGAAAGCATGGTCTCCGCGGGGAAGGTTGCAATGGAGGAGGAAAAGGGGACTTGTGAAATGCTAATTGAGCTTCATCCCCTTATTGAAGTGGAAAGGGGTACCTATCGTTCCATTGAACCGCAGCAGGAGTGGAGTGAGATGTGAGGAAACTGTTTGTCTGGTAAGTAACACCTCATGCTTGTGCACTATGCTGCCCCTAAAGCATACCGAGCCACTCTAGCATCAGGACAGAGAATCTTTAAAAAATTCTGCAGTCTTTATCAAGGCTACAGGCCATTTGTTCACAGTGAGCTGCAGGCTACATGATTGATTGCCTCATTCACTCAGTTTGGGGTTGTCTGAGGAGAGCTCTGCAGGTCTATATGTGCTCTGACTGGTCTATCTTTTAAGGCGGTGCATCCCTCTTGTTCTGGAGAGGCAATGGGACCCTATTGTGCTCCTCTCTTCTTCCTCCCTTCACCTCTCTGTTCAGCTGAAAAGGCCAATTAACAATGGGGCTCCCCTCCCCTGGCCTGTCACCCCACTCCTGTGCTTTTGAAGTGAGGGGGAATGAGAAGGAGAAAGAGGAAGCATAGTGGCATCCATAAATCCCACAACGTGCCGCTGTTCTTGTGCCAAGACAGGTGGATGGGATGTTTGCCCATAATTTAGGGGGTTTGAGCTGATTTATGGGATTTTTGCTATATTTACTTAACCACTTAAATCCAGTTTAAGAGGGTCATGGGAGTCCGTCTGCACACGCTATAAATCAACCTAACACAGACAAACAGACATACCAACAAAGGAGTTAAGGTGTCACTGTAACTGCTGCATGTGTGCACTAGAGATATGCACCTAACTTAACAAATCTTTGGTGCACACATGCAAGCTGCACTCAGGAAAGATTGCAGCCAGGAAGTTTGGGTGCTGATGTTTCAAACTACTGAGCCATCATTGCTCACAATGTTTGAACTCTGTAACAGAAGCCCAGCGGAGCTCTAATACAACTGAAATCCAACTCTGTCTCTACTAGCTCCTCGCCAGAAGGTAGTAAGTGGAACATTCTATTGTAAGCACTCTGTTATTTCTTTGTTCAAAAATGTCTTAAATACATATACAAATTCCAGGAAATGGAGAGACTTCATGAAAATTCAAGAGAATTTTATTTGTTTCCTCATCACACCTCACATTAAAATGATACTGATCATTCTCACATCTTCTGGTCTGTGTGAACAGATTACCATATTTTTGCACAATATATCTTTAGACTCCTGAGGACAGTAAGATAGTGTTTGTGTATCTGTATTTGTGTATTGATAACATAGGACGTTGTGTTAGGAAGTGACCTATGTATATCTCTATGAAATTCTACTGGTTAGCTGTGAAAAAGCAATAACTAACAACTGGTAAAAATGGATCTTCCCAGTGTGCTATGGACATAGTAAGGGGTGTGATGAGGAATATGGAGGAAGTGAATCACCTTCACTGTAAACAACAAGGATGTTATCATATCTCGATCTGGATAAAGGACAACATGGACATAGACCATTCTTCATTTGGTTTCCTTGCATATTTGATTATTTTTCCTTTGTAAAATATATGCATAAAAAGGGACAGAAAAGAACTATAAAATAAGTGCCATAAATCCAAACTACAGACAATAGTGCACTTTCCTCACATTCCTTAGAAAAGAGATGTCTGTTTGTTGTTTAAAGTAAAGCCATTTTTAGTGGTGATTCAGTTGTATTGTTATGTAGGCAACACTTTAAATAACAGGAAATAAACTGCTTAATGTATCCATTTGTTCGAATGATTGTAAAATATTTATGTGGAGCGCATTAAAGTCATGTGTTGCCAGAATATCCCACTAGATGGCAATCTACCTCCACTACAACACAGCCAAGCTGGACTGTTAAAACAAATACACAGATAGTAAAGACAAATGCAGTTGAGTTAATTATTCCCTGAAAATTGATATTCCTTAAATGACAGAGGGTTTTACACTCTCTTCTTGTTTGATGCAAGTAATATTTTTGGGCTCTGTTTGTTAGTAGAGGTACTGATTAAGTACATTGATAAGAATAATAACACTGAAAGACCACAGTAATCTTATTAAGAGGTTTCCTTATCTGGGTTTAAAAGGGATGTGATGTATGTTGTGGCAGATTGCTGCTTGTTGGAAAGAGGTGAGGCAGCAGGAAGGAACCAGGAGGATGTAGTGCTTTTCTCTTGTCAGATAATCAATACTGGGACAGACTGTAGGAGAGGATGGATGAGCTGAACCGCTGGGTACACTATATGCCAAATCCAGGCTTGTTGTGTACTTCAAAAACTCTGAAAAATCTCTGCATTGTGCGTGCAAATGCAGTTTAACAGCAGATGTGGATTTTCCACTCTAAAAGTCATCCACAGCTCTTGTGCATGAGCTCACCCCATTACTGTCTGTGAAGAGCTTTTTGATGGGCAAGAGATGTGATAAATGCTCAGCAGCAACAAAAGACTGTAGGGCTAGATGCTGAATCCATTGATCTTAATCCAAAATTGTTGGAATTGTTGGCTTAGATGCTGTTTGTGTTATTTGGAATAAGCAGGCTGTGACACAATTGGCTGTCACTTCTGTTATTTAAACCACAAGCAGTACTTTCAAACACAAGTTATTTGGGCACAACAAATTATTGTGGGTTTATGAAACATTAATAAGCAATGAAACTGACATACATTTGGGCCTCGTATTGGTGTACCAAGGAGAGACGCTGTCCTGCAAAGGCGATCCCTTCGGCTTCCAGCTTTGCCCCAGTTGAAGTGCTTGTAAGCAAGATGATGGATCTTTAACAGTTTAAGGGATTATAGAGCTCCAAGATACAGAAGGGAAAGTATTTAATTGTGCAAGGCTGGAACTAATTATTATTTTGAAAGGCTATAAAAATCAGAAAATTGTGAAATTGTGTGAAATGCCGATCATCATTTCCTAAATCCCAAGTCAACATCTTTAGTTCAAAACCAAAGATATTTAATTTACATTTATAATACTTTTCTTGCAGAATGAAGTTACTAATTAGTTTTCTGTAATCTCTTAATCAATTATTAATTGCTTCAGCTCTAGAATAGTGATCACTAACATTAGGAGTAGCTTTTATAAATGTGGTGATGTAAAATAACAGACACAGTATACAGATCCAAACACTTGTATATTGTCAGATTAAGATGAGCACTGATGTTTTCTTCCCACTGTCAGTTAAATTCTAATGTCACGTTGGCTCTCTGGTACCACGTACATGGCTGTGGGCTGTAGGGTAATTTCATAACTGTGCCTAGTGGAGACCACCAACAACATTATGCAACTCTGCTCTGAAAACACTACCCATTGCATTTCTTTTAACTCTGGCCTACAGCATCACCTATTATATCAACGTGGTGTCAAAGGTAATAGTGCCAAGAAAAGGAAAATGAAGCCTGGAGGTCTTCAAATAAACACCAAATACATATCTTATAAATGTCTTTGTTGTGGAGCATTAGCAGCGAATGCCAGGTTACATCAGTGTTGTTTATCTCAGCCTACTTTGGGACACTGGACCACGGAGTGTTCTAGTAGCAGGCGCACACAGCACATCAAACATGGGTATGGCAATGTTTTCAGTCGGTAGGCGTCTTGCGCTCTCTCTCTCTCTCTCTCTCTCTCTCTCTCTCTCGCTCTCTCTCTCTGCCTCTCTCTCTCTCTCCACTTGACTTTAATTCGGTCTAGTACGCGTCATCCTTACGGACTCGCCTCCACGCTCTGTGGGCTTTATACTTTCTGCCTGGACCACTATAAAAAAAAACACACACACACAAACATAAACAAAACAAACAAATCCCAGCTGACATTAACGACGCCTTCCTAACCACGTCCCCTTCCCCACTGTGTCTTTTTTTTTTTTTTTTTTTAAAGAGGGAGGAGGACTTTTTTGAGGAGCGGAGGGTGAATTTGTTTGAGCACACGCTGTCAGGATTGAGCTGATGTGAGCGCTGCATCAAGTGCGCGGCGGTGATGCTCCGGTATAAAACAGCCCGCTGTATTTTGGCACAGAGGGGGATGCATCAGTTTAACCCTCGGCTCTGCCCTCCGGACTCGCCCATACAGTATTCAGCCTAGATAAGTTGAGGGGATGTGTGAACCTATTGCGAGGAATCCTGCCGCGCCATATTCCTGAGGATCTCTCTCTGTTCGCTTTTTTTTTTTTCTTCAACTTCGATGGCTTGAGTGGCCCATTTGCACTCATGCTCGCAGCCGAGGAGGGATGTAAGGTACGGGCCATCTACCGCCCTCACATTGCACGGAGTACTAGCGGCGTGATTCAGGTCGCTATCTGAGTGCCAATAAGAAAAAAAACTACTTTCGAGATGTGAATTATCGAGATTTGTATACTCATTCCACCGGCTCGCCTGTCCTATGCTATCGACAACGGGATTTCAAGAGGAAAATGATTGTGGCATAAACTATTTCTGGAGACGCTTGTCACAGATATCGCCGCTCAACTGGACAGGGTGGATGGTTATTTCCCAAACTGTTCAAGCCTATGTATACTGCATTCATTTGTTGGAAACGTTGCCTAGTATCTTCGAGAACAGCGCAAGAGGAATGCTGGTCCAAGATCTAATGCCATTTACTTTAAGTTTTTGGCCTTTTTTCTTCGGTCATTGCCTTCTTTCACTGTTTTTACTCTCATGCCAGGTAAGGAGCATGTTCAGGCGCGCCACTTGTCAATTTTACGCATGAGGAGAGGTTACACTAATGTAACTGGAGTTTGATTTACTGATGGACTATGGATAATAACTGGAGAACTGATTAGCTTTTTCAAGCAACTTATTCCCATTAATATTGCATGTGTGTTTACATCAGGGTCACCAGTCCAGGGCAACACCTGTGTTTAGGAAATACTGACAGGCTTGCGTGTGTAGAGTTTCCAGTAAGGCATGAGAAAGGTTTCTATGTATGCACACACACACACACACACACACACACACACACACACACACACACACACACACTCAGCTCTGTAGTGGGAACATGGAGTAGCCAACTGTGTTTTTATGATAACGATATTCAGTTATCCCACCAGGAACCCCGCAGCAGGCATATGTTAGTGATGAGTATTCTAACCTCTGCCCTGTGCTGCTGCCTACAGATAGTGGTGAGCTGTTGTTCACACGCACACAGTGTTGCCAGGGTTCATGTGTAATGTGATCTGCTTGAGTTTCCAAGTCCACCCACGCACACTCCTCGGGGCAGCCTGCTGCCCACTCTGTTGGTGGGTGGTTTCTTACAGGGAGCGGGCTGCAGCCATAGACGTGATACTATTCTGCATGTACTACATACACAGCAGCCCCTTTGACAACAAACAACACTGGAGCTGTGATACGAAAAGAATGCTGAGAGGGTATCCACAGTGCTGCAAACTAAGAGGCTGCTGAGTGTTCAAGCATCTCCATTTGTGCTGCACAGTGTTGTGCTCATGGCACTTCTGAGTAATGCACTAAAGGATGGGTGCCTCAGTCATTTCAATGTCTCTCTTTTTATCTCTCCCTCACCATAAGGGAGAGCTCCAGAGGTCATGCTCACGGACGGTGGCGGAGAAAGTTAGTGAACAATGCCAGCTGGCATGCCACTGTCGAAGATACCCTCCTCTTCCTCCTCCGCCGCCTCCACCACCTCCCCCACGGCTACTGGGCACCACAGGTAAGACTCCCAGCTCACACTCCCAGGTTTCACACCTGTCTCGCTCCAAGTCTGTCTGTCTCACTCTCAGTCTGCTCTCGCCCCACAGTTGGATCTTCATTCCTAGCCAGACGCAGGTGTCAAGCAACTGGCTAGTCAGAGGAAACTGTTTTGAACGTCAAGTGTTTCCTTTTATGCTCAAAAGAAAAATGTGCCATCAGCCCCCCTGAGATTACTGTGTGAGTGTTTGTGCATGGGCGCCGTTTTGCACGTGCGCCTCTGTGCGTGTGATAGAGCCAGCAGGATGTTGACAGCTGAACACAGGACTAATTTATGCCGGGTCTGACCTTGGGGAGTACCCAGCTGCCTGTGAAATCCATGCCTGCTGGGCTGCCAAGCTCAGTGGTTCAGTGGTAGGGTTTCCCCCGGAGGACCCCTGATTAAAACACAGATGAGTTAATTAAATTAGCTTTAATTTGATAGAGATAAGGGGCTAATGAACCAGCCCAGTAATTCCAGCTTCGTTTTGAAGTTGAGCTGCCGGCAATAAGTCTATGTGTGTGTCCGTGCTTTATACAACAAGCACACATACCTCATCCACTGCCTGTTGCGGCAGTTTTCCCCTACATCACTCTCTCTCTCATCCCACTCTGAGATGGTAAATCCACTGACAGATAGGCAAACATATTTCACTGGCCTGCTCGCTGAAAGTTGATATGATTTGTATGTAGTCCCAAGCACCTTAATGAACAGTGCACTGAAATATGGGACAGGCGTTGCTGATGATGCAGCCATTCTGAGCTATTACTGTGGCTCTTTAGAATCACTCACCCTGAGTCCTTAATATTATGAGTGGGGAGGAGTACTTAATCATTAAAGTCCCAACAGACAGGAGTGTAAAGGTTTTAATCAATCAGTTCCAGTGATTTTTCTTTTCTTGACTCGCCATGTGAGCTACGTATGAAACGAGTTACAGACCCTTCTGTTAATGTTGGTCACTGCATAAATGCTGCCGGGACCATCTGACTGTAAGCTAAGGTGGGGGTTGAATGCCCAATTACGGCCAACGCATGAGTGAACGCTGTATCCACAGTGTTCGATGCTTCCATAAACAGCAGTATGTCACCATAAATATGACAAGCAGGCCAATTTGTATTCCTTCAGCTTTACACATAAATGTTTGCAGAGGGTGGAGCCACCATGAATAATTCACTTAAAGGGAGGTTTTTTTTCTCCCAATTTAATCTATACAGGCGCATAATTATCTTGATATTCCTTCAGTAGTCCAATTTACAGAATAGTTAGCGATGCAATTTTGCTTTAAACTGTAGTCTGCAATGAATATGCATAGCTAACATGAAAAACTGGGACAATGACTGAGATCTTATCTTCTAAATGTCTAAAAAAAAAAAAAAGTGGAGAGAAAAATTGGCAACGTTAAGTAAGTCTGTGTGTGCTAAAAATGGTTTTCGAAGTCCTTCAAAGGAGTGTGCTTTATCACAATGAAGTAGATCCTTACCACTGACTGAATTAAATCCTACAGCCGTTGACAAATGCAGGATTAAAATGGAAGTTTGGCTGAGAGGAGCTTTTAAATTCATAGTGACTTATGACGTGCGCTGTACCGGGGAGAGCCGTGCCTTGTTATTTGCTCCATAGAAAAGTGCTGTGTTGGAAAATAGTCTACAGCATTAGTAAGGAGTATTTGTTGCTATGGTGTAAACCCTTCCGCTCATTCATACAAAAATAACTGTTAATGCAAGAGCTACGAGTTTGTTATTGTATATACGGTGCAGTGTATTTTCTCTGCATAAAACTGGAACAAACCGTCATTCATATCAATAGATAGATGGGTATGCACATGACTAAACTGATTTATAGATGGTGGGAGAGCATCAAATGCTGCAGAAAGAGATAAGGAAAGTTCTGCATTACAGACACGAAGTTGCTGATGCACATAATGTTATTCAACATTCCTGGTGAGTGGTCTTACTCCACGGGTCTAATGTGGAAAGAGCAGGAGGTTCCTGCAACAGTAATTGGTGTGGACAAGAGTGCTGGTGTAAGGAAGGCTGACGGGACCTTAAATGATTCATGGTGTCGGGTTGGATATCCTTGAACGTTGAACCTAAGACCTACAGAACAGGCGAGGACACGTCGTCTTCCCAACTCAGAGAGCAGGGAGGAAAATCAGCTCCATGTTGCTCTGTTATTATGTTGTATAATGCAAGACTCGGGTCAGTGATCAGCATAGTAAATCTTTTTTTTTTGATTTTGAACCGATTTTTCTGATTTATTTTGTGAAATGCATTTTATTTATTCTCTTCTTCTGCATCCAAATCTCTCTCCTCCTGTCCCCTCTTCTCTTTTTTCTAAGTGGTAGAGCCCATAGTGCCCTTGTTGCGGCCATGGTGGATGGAGATGGACATTATAGTGCTTGGAACGGTGGGCTGTGCCTCGGTTGTCTTCCTCCTCTCAGCCATCATCATCTGCTACAAGGCCATCAAGAGGTTGGACTGTCACTTTTCTCTCTTCTCTTCGTATTTCAGTCATATATCTCACTCCTGCGTATCTCTGAAATATTTTAAATGATGTCAAATTGAAATAGGAACTGTCAGAGCCAGTCTACTCAGCACATCATGTTATTTGACCCACGGGAATTATCTGCCCTGCCATCGTGTGAGTCATGCAGGAGACTACGATGACCCTGTCGTCATCACCCTGCAGGGTCACACTGAGGTCAGAGGTTAGGTAATGGAATGGGTTGTAAATGTCAACGAGGAAGATCCACTGCACTGAGTCACCCAGAAATATCCCATATTCTAAATTAATTTATTAAGGTGCATGATGACCCAACTTTACAGTACTGCGTCGATTTTAAGTGTCTAAAGCTGCTTAGAATGGCAGCTGGGTTCATGAAAGTAAAAGCAATAGGCGAGCAGAGGAATCCCAAGATGCTGTTGTTGCAGCGGGAACTGTTTTCCCCCCATTTGGCTTATTAGAGAAAAGGCTGCGTGAGGTTTTAGCCTGCAGCACAACCCAGACCCAATTCTCTGTGTGACATTCAGGCAGCACGGTGTCACACATGCACTCTGACATACACGTTAATGTTTGCAGACATTTAACAAGCACACACATCCGCATCGTGCGAAGTGCTGCACATGCACAGAGAGAGGCATGCAGAGGATACTACACCCACCCATCCACACAACATCTTTACATAGACATATCATCTTGGCATATTTACAAACTCTATAAAATATGGCATAAACATTGACTCTTGTGTGAGAACAGCCACACATGTGCATGCTGAATTGGGGAGCTACTGCTATTATTATCATTTATGTGTATTTAAATTGATTTAGTATCATCAGTATATTATATTTATGGAACTGTATTAAGCCTGCATGCCAGATATGGCTTTCCTCAGCAGAACTCTATTTCTCCTTTCTTTAAACAACAAATAGGCAAAGTCAGGCAGCGGAAGTAATGGGTGGTTGGCTCAGGAATTCATTATGGCAATTCTCCAGCCCCCTGTGTAGCCAAGGGGCACCTTTTTTAATGCAGCAGTGGTAGGAAAGTGTTGTTGCAATACGGGCTCTAGCCCCAAAGCCAAGTCATTATTTATGAATTAATTTGCGCAGTCATTCAGTCGCAGGCCACATCTTTTATACATGCAAGCGGGTCGTGTCCTGAAGCTCTGTGGGCTCTAGACTGCAGACTTTGTGCCACGACAAGCTGCCCTCCACTCTGAATGAGAAGGGAAAAATACACAGGTCCAGCCAGACTGCCCTCATTAGACATTCATCAGTCACCAGCCAATAAGAGAGCAGTCCAGGGAAAAACTGATTCCTTTAACATTTGTCATGGATGCTCTAATCATCCATCGTTCCTGAGAGGAAGGGAAAGGAAACTACACAGCGAAAAGGACAGAAAAAATGTTGTCTACCAGAGCGAGCGAAGGCAGTAATTGAGCGTCTTAGTCAATAACAATGTGAGAGAGGGTTTGTCACTGAGAAAAACACAGCCAGTTATATATAGCCCTTCCAGCCCCTCAGTGCTCCGGGCTTTCCCAATGAAAATCAGCTGGCCGAGGGCCAGGGTCTGAGCACCACAGACAGCAGAGGAGCTAGCTCTGCGGGTCCCAGCCCTCCTGGCCTTTTGTTATTTTTTATAATCTTTGTCTGCCAGTCATCTGTCAGAAGCAAAGGGGCTGGAAAGAAAAAAACACTTCCATACAATTCTATTCAGAGTCCACAGCACCAGGGAGGCTGGTGTGTGCAAGCATAGAGAAGAGGATTCAGACGCACGCTGCGTTTCAGTGTTGCTGTGCCATCCAAAGCAAAAGACATGATGCTGCAGTCCGGGCTGTCAGCCATTCAAGGAGCCAAAACAAACAAAACTCAAACCAACTGACTAATGAAGCTTGATGCTTTTCCCAATCACTTACCGCTATGGGAGGCTTGTCCAAAGACAGATAATACATCATAGCTGGTGCCGTCCAAGGGCATTACAGTATACCCAAAATACTCAACCAAGGATACAATAAAAGGAAAATACTTGTCAAGCAAAATGGTTTAAAATCCAACATTTACTAATACATTATTAATCTCCTCTGTTTTATTTTTCAAATTGACTACACCACATCAAAACTGGTGACAGATTTTAACAGTCTGTTTTTTAATGCTTTTTCTTTGAACCATAGCATGTTACTCTAATTTCCAGATGGCTGGAGTAATTGTAAACAGCTCAACACATGTCCCAATTTCGCCATGATCCATTCCCCAAACTTCAAACAGGAAAGTGTGCTGTGATTGCACAGCTTTGATATGAAATATTCATCTAACCTGTGAAGTGTTGTGTTGCCACCTGCCATGTGTCAACAGCATGGCATCTATTATTGAAGGCCTGGGTAGAGGTCGGTTTGGGGCCCCAATGCTCTGCCCTGTGTGGTGGCCCGAAGCGACAGGGTCAGTCTGAGCGGAGATTACATCCTGGGAGAAATAAACAGGGCCGAAGCACCTTCCAGCGGGCTATAGATCACCGATGTCAAACAGTATTTTACAACATGAAAGATAAAATAGTGACCTGTCAAAAATATTCAAAATAAAAATCATTAATGCAGCTGCAGGGACCTTGCATAACGTAAAACGAATATCTTACCCGCTGACTTTTTATTCCAAGTAGAAGAATTCCCGGACTGGCTGTAAACATTGCCGTCTGTCCCTCGGAGAAAACTTTGGTATATCCCAACTCCCCGAGCTGCAGCTACATTAGCCAATCATCTCCCCCGCAGCAGAATGTGTTTCCACCCTGGGGCTGGACAGTTTCCTATTTGAGGCTTTCCCCGGGGTCTCACAGGGACACAGCAAGCAGCATCTGTCCTACATGGCCAGCATGTATCCCCGGTGTCCTAAGCCATATGACCTCTCCCAGCTGACAGAGTCCCACAGGAAGTCTGAGTCATTGCCTCAAGTTTTGTTTACAACTTTGCTGTAACTAGCTCACAGCACCAACCACTAGAATAAACACAATGTGAGATGTTCACAAAAAAGAGAAAAAGAATGATTTATTAGTTATTCATTATCGAATTGAACATAAATATTATAGTCTTATCACTCTGAGACTATAAAATGGCAAAGACCCTGTGAGGCTGTACTTAGGTACAGTGGTGCTTTGAGCTAAATGCTAACATCTACATGCTAATATGCTCACAGTGACAATGCAAAGCAGGTTTAATGTTTACCATGATCACCATCTTAGTTTAGCATGTTAGCATGCAAAAATTTGCTAATCAACATCACTAAACACAAGTACAACAGAGGCTGGGAATGTCTTTAGCATTGCAGGTATTTGGTATTAGACAAACTGCAATGTTGACCTGATGATGGCACTAAATGAAAAGTTAAGATCACCGAAGATATAACAATTGATCCTGAAGGCAAGATGAATGTCTGTATCAAATGTAATGGCAACAGTTGTGGAGACAATATGTCAAACTAATAGAGGAAACGTCATGAATGTCTGTACAAAATTTTATGTTAATTCATGTATCAGTTGTTGATATATTTTAGTCTGGGCCAAAGTGGTGGGCTGACAGACAGATGAAATTGCTACCCATCATGTCGCTTACAGAGGAGGCAGAGTGTTTATTAGATGCCTTTTTTTCAGTGAGTCAAAATCCTTTAAAGACTGGTTAAGATCCTGAAAGTGACTTTGGCGACAGATGAAAGTTTTTCCCTGGTGTATCCTCAAATGGAAAAACAAGTTAAGCTGAGCAGGATTTCTGAGGTGCTCTGATGAACACAGGAGGTGGAGGGGCGGAGGTGGTTCACAGCGCTGAAATGACAGCTGAAAAACAGCCAAGACAGGAACAGTTTTAAAACCTGACAGCAACAAGATGGGTGTTGAACAGGTGTGGCAAAATCAGATTGGCTTAAGTGTGTGGGAGCAACAAAAAAAGACAGCTGACAAATTGAGTTGACAGCAAGGAGAAAATGAGCATGTGCATGAAAAGTACACAAGTAATTGAACATTTACTAGACTGACTCACTGACTGAAATATTAATATCAGTTGGCTATATTATATAGAAATGTCACAAAAGATATCAACATATATGATGAGCTTGTACATTTTAAGTAACAGAAATATACACTTAGACTTTACACCAGTTGTTTTTATTTTTCAGTCTCAGATTGATTGATTCAGAAAATATCTGTTTAAATACACACGGGGGGATGAAATATAACTGACTAATACTGAGAGGCTGTCAAAGGTGTTCAAGGTGACTCAATGGTAAGGTGTTGAGGTCATGGACATAATAATTTTGTAAATTTTGAAGGAGCCGTTAATATTAACAGACACCATGGTCGCCTTCTTTAGAGTCTGCCATGTTGAACCGCCATGTTTCTACAGTAGTCCATGAGGGAAAAACCAGACATTGGCTGTGAATAGGGGCATATTTTTTCATTTTTTGCGACCACCGTAGTTTCATCCTTGGAAGGGGAGGGTGAAGTGATCTGCAAGTATACCACTAGATGCCACTAACTCTTACACATTGGACTAGTGGACACAGCTGGTCAATGTATTTTTGCTGAACAAAAACTGCAGTTCCTCAAACGACCACTTGAGGCTGGCTACAGAAGTGAGTCAATCTCCATAAGGTCCCATTTTAAAATGCCAAACTTTACAGCAGAAATAAACATGTTTACAGCCTGATACAAAAACAAAAATGGTTCTGGTCTTTCAGAAAATACCAAGTTCATGACAACTGTACAGGGGATGAATTTTTATAAAACCCACAGATTTAAATCATATTAAGGCTTAAAGTTATACATAATTAAGTGCATGGCCTCTTTAACTGACAGGTGGGTGCCATCACAGGGGGCTGTTTTCAGTAATTAGGCTCCATTCAACCTGCCATAGCTCCACGTATATATGCCAATTTTTTGGATTAGCCGGGAGCCAGTGGAGTCAGGACTGCCAAGATGGCGACGACCAGAGCCAACCACGCTGAACTTCACGACATCTCTTCAGAAACCTATGGGCAACATCACAGAGACTACGTCCATTATTAATTATACAGTCTATTGTTAGTGAACTAACTCTGACATTGAAACATCTACCAAAAGTTAGCTAACATACACAACTGATCATACCAGACTGGAAAAGGCTGTAAGCAGCTGTGAGCAACATTTATGTAACGTTTTATTGTTTATGAGTTACATTTTTTGTTTGTAATAAGAATATTGTGGTATTTCTTCTTTTCAAAAGTTACATTGCCTCTTTAAAAAGGTAATTAAAATGTTTATCCTCACCTATGACTCAAAACAAAACATTATGAACATACCAAACGTAGTTTTTTTTTTTGCAGGACTTTTGAGTTTGATTGCATTATGTCATGTACATATGATCAATTCACCCTGTAAGGATTCCCCCTCTGCAAGGGAAACAGATTGTGCTGGACTGGACTGGGAATGACTGTTCGTCAAAGTTGGACTGACCAGCCAGGGCTTTCAGAGGGGAGCGACACTGAGTTAAGATGTCGCTCAAGGGTCCTCTGTGGCAGTGAAGGCACTGTACAGTGTTGAGTGGGACAATGACTGTACTAACTGTATTCAGGTCTGTCTCTGAGTTACATAAGCCCAAGCAGGGGAGAGCAGCTGAGGGGGTCGGTGCAGAAGCCACAGTACACTGGACAAATATAATAACCACAAAGGCACAGAGGAGTGCATGAAAAGGGCTGTATTGAATGATACTGCTCTTCACAGGCCAGTAGCAGCAAGGGGATCATGTGTTGCAGCTTATTTTGCACCAGAATGTACTTCTAGAAATGACTGAGTATTACCGTGCAACCAGTGTTGAGGGGGAATTTCACAGGAGGTTATGTATCGATGTTATTCCCAAGTTGTTTTGACAGCCACACACATACTCATTACTTAGAGGGAAGATTGCATCCACCAGTCAGAGAAGGTAATTGCCTTATCCCCTGTGTTGCAATGTATCTTTGCCTCCTGTCTCCTTGCCAAAGTGACCTTTGAACATTGAGCTTATTAGAAAGGATCGCTGAGACCAGCGTATCCACCCAGAGCAGCCCGTGAAATCAAATCAGCCTAAAGGTTAACAGTCTAGAAACTCTGTTTAATGACATGGCCTTTAGCTAACGTCACATCTCTCTTGTCAAGGAATTTGTCCTCACTTTATGAAAATGTTTATTCACAGGAAACCACTACGAAAAGAAGAGAACGGGACAAGTCGTGGGGAATATGCCATGAGCATCCGTAACAAGAAGGCCATGGGTACGAACAACACTGTGGTATAGACTGTCTCCTGGTAGACACAGGAAGTGACATCACAATTACCGTCTCACCCCCCCCACCCACCCACCCACCCCAAATACAACAACAATCCCCATTCACCCAGAATGCAACTGGGTTTTACCCAAGATTTTCGAATAGGTAAATCTTTCCTCTTTGCTTGGCATGTTGCCCGGACTGAAGACACCATTCAGCTCCAGAGGAGCTGTAAAAGATGGAAGGGAAAAAAATCAAGGCAGAAAGGACGGAGAGAAAAATCCACAAACCCCCATGGTGTTGAAAGTGGCACAGCAGGCTGAACATTAGGCTCTTAGTAACAGCAAGTGTTGCTGACAGGCTGGTTGGCTGCTGGCTGGAGAGGGACTGTCTGCCAGTCTGCGGCAGATCCAGACCTCACACACTGTTGACATCTGCAATGGAACAACAGACAATACAGCAGCCCTGCAGTCCCATGGGTGGCCAGACAGGACAGCCCCATCACACACAATAAATAACGTGCATGCAGTTTTTACAGAGAATGCAACATTTTTTTATATTCTAATTACACACTGTCCATCTTTTGTTCTCCATTTTTGAGACAGATGCTTTGTGAGAGGCATGATGTTACTGTCGGTCCTGGCTCTGAGATGTGGATTCATCTGACTATGCAATTTAAAGAAATCCATATAAAAAAAAGAGGAGGAGAGCAACAACATCAACAGGGGACTGGTTATTTTACCATGCCAAAAATGCCACCGAAGACCTAGGCTCAATGTAATATACTTCAGTCATTCATCAATTTATTTCCTCTATTTATTTACTTATCTATCTTTGAATTTATTTTTCTACTTAAAAGAAAAAAAACTGTCTTGTAAGTTACTCACATCTTTACAACTCTTGAACATCTTGATGAATTCATTTTATTTCTTGATAGCTCTGTTTTTTAAGTGAATCATTTATAAACCATATAATTCATTTGTGATGCTCCAATGCTTTAAGCCTGCTGTCAGTTTGTTGAGACACTGATGCAGAAAACACGCTTCACTGCAAAGAGTTTTGGTATCAGTTGTTTTGTCTCTGGATGTTTGATATGCTTTTCTCTGTTTCCCTGAGACTTTGGCTAAAAATCCAGGGGTCTCTATGATGTGCTATGTGAATGTGTGTTTTCCAAACATTATTTCTGTGCTGCATCATATGCCAGCCCCCATTTTAGATTTGTTAATTCATTGCCCACGCCACCCTAAAGTTAAACCTGATATTACAAGTAATTTGGTTAAATCTTGTTGTTTCAGAGTCTTGGGGTCAGCTAGATGCCTTCAGCCGTGTTTTGTTTGGGTTTGACAATCTTCATTTTTCTATCTGTCATGACGGGCTTAGCCCATCGCTATAGAAACAGGGGACATGAGCCCAGGGCTGACCTTGTGACTGGTGAGAGACAGGAGACTTAGCCAATAGCCAGAGATCAGGTTGCACAGAGGATGGCCTCAGTAGGGATGTGTGTGACTCAGTGCTGTCACAGGCATCCTCCACATCCCCACTGGAAAAACATAACTGAGCTGAACTGGAGCATCACTCAACGCTGCTCTGCTCTGCTGCTTTTTTTTTTTTTTTACATTAAATCTGCGTGTGTCTGTGCGTGCATGTGTGTGAGTGTGTGTTTGTCTGTCTGTCTGTGAGTGTGCATGCAGATGAGTGTACTCAGTGAGAGTGGGCTGTACTCTGTGGCTGTCAGTTAAGTATAGATATTGGCTAAACTGTGGAAATTTGGAAAAACACATGCTTGCATCAAAACATGCACAGGTTATTAGCTTAACAGTATACCCCACCATGTACTTATATGAGAGAACTGATGGATGCATGAATGTAAATATTGATATTTAAATATCTGCCTTCTGGACTGTTAATTAATGTACAGTGTAACAGAACATATGTTTATACATAGTAAAACAATGTGCTACCATTTAGAATTATGTCAATGTTGTCATGTTGATGGAGCAAGCCATTAATGTATATATGGCAATCAATAGTACATACACAATTTATGCATTATACCAAACAGATAGAAAGATGTGCATAAGTTGATTTCATTGCTGAGTTTTTCAGTTGTAAATAAAACTGTACATAACAACAGAACCACAGTCTATTGTGTTTAAAGAGATATATGTGCAGAAATCTGTTGTTACACTATGGCAGACAAACACAAAGGCAATGAAAATGAGACTATTATATTTAGCCTGTGCCCATCCTGTCTGCACTGTGCTGTGTTGTGCCGTCCGTGTCTTAGGCAGAGCTGTGCCGGCCGTGTCTCCTGGGCCCCCTGCCGTGGAGGACATGTTCTCAGTCTGTCTCACACAGTGCATATTTAATGAACTGCGATTATCAAGCACATTCAACTCCACGGGGCTTAATGACGCAAGACAGAAAACTTATAGATTACATATTGTGCTGGCTCTGGGCTCATCAATAATAATGTGACAAAAGAAATCATGGATGTGTGTGAGGGATTTCTACTGCTGAAGCAAGAACACAAGTTGCTATAACAAAATTAGGATTCTTTTGTTGGAAACTAAAAGGAGATAATTCACCCTTGTGAAAGAGGTTACATTCTTACATTAAATCATGTAGACATTTCTTTCTTAATTTGCACGTTATACATTAACTGTAGTTAATGATGTGAAAGAAACAAGGGGGACAAACCTGTACTATACAGGCTGATGCAGAGGTGCACTGAAGAGGAATGTCAATGAATTACAACGTGAATGAGGGACCATAGAGTACTTTGCCTTCCCTGCTTTAGATGTGCCACTTGATGGTAATGCCAATGGACACTCTGAGCAATTTAAACATTCATGCATTGTCCAGCCAGGGCGCTGTGGATTTCACTGTAATAAAAGCAATGTGACAGCAGTAGGCGAGGGGACCAGAGATTGTCACTGTCTCAACAAGCTTTACGAGGCTCTCAGGAGGTATTTCCATAAAGCAAAAGGATGCTGGTACACAGACTCTTCAACATTTGGGGTTTTGAAATTTGAAATTGTTTTTGTGCAAAACTACTGGATATTTTTTGATATGCTGCAGCCTGTGTGAGACTACCTCTCTCAACTCTCTATTTAATCAAGGAATGTCACCAATGCACGCACCTGGTGATGCACCGTGCGGGCGCATGACTACAATATGTGTGTGTGTGTGTGTGTGTGTGTGTGTGTGTGTGTGTGTGTGTGTGTGTGTGTGTGTGTGTGTGTGTGTGTATGGGAGCGTGCAGTCCTTTCAAAGCTGACCTTCACAATCTTTGAGGACCCACTCACACCCTCTCTGCCTGAGAGGCCTTTGGTCAGCGTTAATTACCCACAGTACCTCCAGCTGCCTGCTCATCAGGTCAGCGCTCCCATATGGTCCTCCAGGAGGCAGCAGGCAGGCAGGCAGGCAGGCAGGCAGGCAGGGGCGGGGAAAGTGCTGGATACCTGTGGGACACTGATTATATAAGCTGCTGCTAATGAGAGAGGTTCTTTCGAAAAGGGCTGCGAGTTCAAACGATCACAACGGTGGCAGTGGCTGACAGATGCAACCCCAGAGCAAGGGGGACTTGATTAAACACACATACACACACACACGCACACCTATGCTCATGCTGGGACACATGCACACACACACCTGCATCCATCATCACTTTAGCACACACTAACACACAGACGAACACAGCAGGAGAGGGGCTCTTTGATGAGCCAAGACTAGAGGTTGATGAGAAGGGGCACTGCAGCCTGATTCAGCTAGCTTGGGGTCACCGGGGAGTGTGTGTGTGTGTGTGTGTGTCTGTGTGTCTGTGTGAGTGTGTGCGTTCATTAGTCACATTGTGTGATATCATTATACTAGTGACTCATTTGGCACACACCTCTCAACATGTGTCCTCTTATACTTGCAGCAACTAAAAAGCAAAAAATTTTAAAAATACATGCAAATCAAATTTTGGCTTATTTTTGTCCAATAAACCAATTTTTTCTTGCAGAATACATTTATATAATCAGATCTATTTCATCTTAAGGCTTGATAATGAAATCCTTGCAGCAGTGAAGATCAAAACAAAGATTAATGTGCTGTTCGGCTTTCTAGCCCTGCTGTCATGTCATCTGTTATTCTCAGACAAGAGCTTCGTGGTAATGCGGTTAGACCTCACAACAATGCTTAATCACAACAAACCACATTAGGCCAAAGGTAATTGTGTTTGCTTGGTATATGCGTGGTCCAATCTGTTTCGGTGCTGCCAATGAAGAGGGGGATGGAGAAGTAAGGAGGGTGCTTTCCACTTTGGGGCGGGGAGGGGGAGCACAACCAAAATAGTCTTGTTTACCTCCAATGTCTGGCTCCACCTTATCGAGTTACAAAGCTGCTGCTGCAACTCAGATTGGCCTTCTGATCGATCTGAGCTCTGATGGCGAGAGGCAGCATGACTGACAGTCTGACAAGGATCTCAGACGGGAGCTGACTAATGCATGTCATGTCATTTTCCCGGAGACACCTGAGGTTCGGTTTCTCGTTCAGAAGAGTAAACAACAGAGCTGATTTTATCAGTCTGCCATCTGCATTATGGTAAACTGGACATTTTCCACATCAGTCAGGACATCAAAAGGCAGTAAATGTCACATTTGAATTTTGAAGGGGTCGGCATTTCATATAAAATGACAAAGTGTCTCAACGTTTAGAAAAACTCGTACTTTTATTATCCAGCTTGCAACCAAGCAACTTAAAAAGTGATAGAATATGAATGTCACAGGGTGAGGATATTGAAGATTCAACAAGCATTTGCTTTCAGACTCTCACTATTACCAACAAGGGTCTATAGAAATTCTTAGTCATCTACTGACTCTTCAAATCTGTTGAATACAACAGTTAGGCACCTGATACAATTATCCCATACGAGCCTAACAAACCTTTAATTATCAGCTCCAGCGCTAGTACTTTAAAATAGCATAGATTTACTGTACATGTACAGGTATTATACTAAAGGTGCTGAAAATGATTCAGTCCAAATGAATCCCACACAGCATCAGTTTTATTTAAGAGTCCTTTTTTGGTTGGGGGGTTCAGCCATAGAGGATGCATGCAGGTCTAAGGTGCCAGACTGGATCTGAGATGACCACAGAGCAGGTCACATGGGGTAGAACTGTGAGGCAGCCTCAGACGACTGGATCTCCACCTGAGCCATCTTGAACTGGGTGCACTGCAGCCATTTGCGCAGAGCAAACGGAGGGGCTCCAGATGTCTGGCCCTGCAGACACTGGTGGTTCACACGGTTCTGGATGGCCTGGAGACGCAACTGCAGCCCCGCAGACAGATGCTGATGAAGCAAAGATGGGAGAAGGGAAAATTAGTCCATAGTTACTGCTACATAATACTACATACAACTACTACATAGTTAATCTGTTTCAATAATGAAGCAAAGTGTTTTAAAAGCCTTACCTTCAGGTTTGACTGAATCATGGGTAGCCACATCGGGATTAGCTATGGGAAAAAATGGGAAATGGATAAGTATTATGCTACATGCTAAGGTAATCATGTATTAACTATGTTGAGTTACACAAACCTTGACAAAGATGGTTGAGTTGCACTCTTGCAGGGCTTCCATCAAACTAATGACATGAAGACACACCATCTCTACCATCTGAGAGAAGAAAGTATCAATCAAAACTGATTTTCTCGGTTATCATAAATAAAAAAGGAATTAATCCAAGAGTTGAAAATTAACTCCTCTCTTCACATTTCACATGAACAAGCACACCACATTTCAACACCCCTATTCCTACTTCAGCTAGCTTAAATAGATCCCAAGTGGAAAAGGATAAGGCAGAGCACTCACCACTTTATTGTGGGCCATGAGCTGCAGGATGCTGGGTGTAACTCGACTCCAGAACTCCAGGCCAGTGAGGATGGCGCTGGAGGAGAACTCTGTCTGGTTCTGGTTCAGCAGGGATGGAGCTGCGGCTGCCTGCTCGCAGTAGATGGTCCACAGCTGGGCAAACATGAAGGCGTGGAACAGAGAGCACATGTGCAGCACCGACGTCTGGGGACAGAGATCAAGACCAAAACAGAAGGCCAGTGAGGTGGTTATAGATCAGATTAACAAAACCTGGGTGGGGTCATTTAAAGAGATTTGTTTCTGCCAGACCTTTGACTGTTCTGGAAAACCAATGAGGATGACTATGAGATGATCTGCGATGTGGGAGCCAGCATCCAAGGGGATGGGCATACAGGAGGTGGAGCCCTGGTGCAGGGCACAGTGTGTCAGGGAGCCCAAAAGTAGCCAGGACAGCTGACGGATGTGGGACACACACTCGATGAATTCTTTTGGCCTGCAGAGAAAAAAAAACATTGAAATTTAGTTTTACAACAGCCTATAAAATAATCTTTACTTTACTCTCATACTCCTCAGGATTATACATTATATGTTTCTGTTTTTGTGGGTAAACTGACCCTGTAAGTCACTGAATCATTACTAAACTAGTTTGTAGTTTTGTCATTCTTACCCTTGTTGCATGGTGGATGGTGGATGATAAAGCCAGGGAAGATAGCGGACTACAGCTTTGTTATCACGGTGATTGCCTTTACTGATTTCCATGGCGGCGACTTGTGCCAAGCCCACTTTCAGGTTCCCCCCGAAAGTGTCCTCATGCAGCGGCTGACAGCAAGCCTTCATATGGCTCTGAATAACAGATTTGGTGTGAGGAAAGAAATAAGGCAAAAATATGGGGAAAAAATCTAGATATAAAAAACAAGATACTATGCAAGTTGTGGCGCTCACATGAAGAATAAGACTTACTTTTAGTTTGGTTAGCGTGTGCATATCAGCAATGAAGTCCAGGAGCTCACTTATGTATTGTCTCATGCATTCCATGGCTGCTGTTGTGCACTGTCGGGAACAAAAACAGTTTATCCTTTAGGAGGAATCACAGTGGGGTCTATCTTTGTTTCCTGCTGTTTTATGAGGCCGATTTTAATAAGATACAAACGCACAACGACTTAAGTCTTACCCCCGGCAGCGTTGCGATCATGTGCTTTTGGATGATGGTGGATTCTGCTAGCCGCGTACCGATATCTGCACAAACAAACTGAGAAATTCCACAGTGAGCTTTAGAATTGTA